GGGACTCCGGGATCATGACCTGAGCCGAAGGCAGACGCTTCACCAACTGAGTCACCCAAGGGCCTCAAGAGACAATGTCTTAACAGCCAATGCCCTTGCCGAGTTACTGTCCCCACTTGCTTGGCTCCCACCTGTTTCAGGACATTTGCATAGGCTGTTTCTTCTTCTTGAAATGCAGTTCCCTCTTCTCTTTGCCTACATAATACCTACTTTTCAAATCTCTGCCCAGTTATCACTTCCTCAAAGAAACCTTTTCTGAATTCCCTAATGAGGTCAAATTCCTCTGTAATAGGCTGTTAGCTTCTTTGCAGCAATGTCACAGTTACAAGTTTACATTTTTTAAAGATTTTACTTATCTGAGACAGAGAACATGAGCAGGGGGAAGGGCAGAGGGAGAGGGAGAAGCAGGCCCCCTGAGGAGCAGGGAGCCTTATGTGGGGCTCAATGCCAGGACCGAGATCATGATCTGAGCTGAAGGTAGACGCTTAACAGACTGAGCCACCCAGGCGCCCCTACAAGTTTACAGTTTGTGTAATTTTTGGATTGAGGCCCACTAGACTGGAAGGACATTAAGGGCAAGGACAGTTCCTGTCTCTCCCTTCATTTGATTTTCTTAAACTTGTGCCCCTCATCTCTAACATAGTATCTGGTGCATAGTAAAGGCTCTATAAATACTTGGTGAATGGAGTGCGAAGAGTAGCTGTAACAGCCACTTCGATGTTTAACTGGGAATTTTTATTTATTTATTTATTTTATTGGAATCTTCTGCTTCCAATAGCATCTCTGGTCTGGGTGTACCCAATAAGTGTTCCTCCTGCTTCTGATCCCCTGTAGTTTGATTCCTATCACCTGATAACAACTGCTACTCCTGTTGCCTTTCTGAGATATGTGTACACACAATCTATTTGTGTACACATGCAAAATATGTTACTACCCGTTCTCTTGAACATCTGTTTCACTGTAGCAAAGTACCATAGCTTAGTTAACCAGTTCTTTCTTCAAAGACATTTAGGTTGTTTCCCATCTTTTGATTCTACAAATGATCCTGCAAGGAATAACCTTGTGCATGACATTAGCTTGCATAAGCACAGTTATACTGCATGTATCTCCCGAAACACCACCTTTTCCTTGGGTCCCAAATAAGGAGATTATGCAGAGATGGAAGCAAGGATCTAGCCTGGATGCTGGGAAAGTAGCTCTAAGGGTGGGAGTTTTTAGGTCAGACCTACACTGTTCGAATCTGGTACCTACGTAGTCCTAGCATGCAGAGAGAGTTTGAGAGTCCCTTCGAAACTGAACTGTACCAACCAATCTTGGAAGACACTAATGCATGAACTACAATGTTTAAAAAAAAGTTTTTTTCTTTCTGCATCCTTCCTTAGTTCCTTCTCATCCCATAATGGACAGATTTTTTTTTTTTTTAAAGATTTATTTATTTATTTATTTGACAGAGATCACAAGTAGGCAGAGAGGCAGGCGGAGACGGAGGAGGAAGCAGGCTCCCCGCTGAGCAGAGAGCCTGATGCGGGACTCGATCCCAGGACCCCAGGATCATGACCTGAGCTGAAGGCAGAGGCTTTAACCCACTGAGCTACCCAGGGACCCTATAATGGACAGATTTTTAATAGCTTGTTTGCTCACAATAGACCAGAAAGTGGTCTAGTGGCTAGCAGTGAGCAAGACAGATGAAGGCATTGTTCTTATGGAACTAATTTTATCATTTTTTCTTTTACCAGGTTTTTTTGGTGTGTAAAGATGAAATGAGATAATGGAAGTAAAGTGATTAATTGGCAACTTAAAATGTTCATTTATGTGTACATATATACGTAACACATACTTATGTATACAGACGCCGAGTTGGAAGGTTCATAATCTTCTTAACACGACTACTTTTTTTTTTTCCTCCCCCTTTTCCCTCTACGGTTCTCTTGAAGAGCTCACACCTTCAACTCCCGTGTTTCTTTCAGCTCAAGGCCAGTGGGACGCGCCACCAGTAGGGGGCAAGAATCACCCAGGCGTGCCTATTACCTAAGCAACGGAGTCAAACACCATTCAGAATGACTTTACAAAAGGGTTACCCAGAAGTTAATTTGTTTATTCTGTTAGGTCTTAAGAAGAAGAAGAAGAGGAAAAAGGAGGAGGAGGTGGAGAAATCAGGGAAACCAAAGATGATAGCGACAGACCTACTCTGCAGTAATCATTAATTGAGAGCAATAGTTTGTTCAGAAAAAAAGCAGTGGGGCTGACTCCGGTCACACCCCTTAGAGTATGATAATGGCAGTGGCCCAGCAGAGGGGCTCCGAGTTATACTGCGGTTTTATATCCAATAAAGTGCTTTGAGCAAGCCTAACATAGCAATGAATACGCGAATATTTTTTTTCTAGGACTATGTAATGAAGAGCTTTCTAAAGCAACACAGACGCCACTAGGTAACTTCCTGGGCCGAAGACACACACCAAAAAGGTTTTCAAAATAGCTTTGGGCCCCTCCTAGACCGACTTTGAAAGCAGGTATAGGACGCATGCGCCCGAACCACCGGCTGACCTCCTCGTGGCAACTCAGAGAGCAGACCTTCCTCCCGACAGCCCGCGGGGCAGAAAGGGAGGGGGAACGGAATTCTCGCGAGGTCTTTCGAGCCCCGGCGGAAGCAGTAGACACGTGACTCTTCTAGGAGGCCTTCGCCTTCCCCCCTCCCCCTTCTCGGAAACCCGGCCCCCTCACCCCTCGCCCACCCCGGAGCCGCGGTAATAGACCGTTTGGGTTCCGGAATTCTCTTGGATCCAACCACTGGTACCGGGTCGGCTGGAGCAGGCGGAGTCCGTGCTTGGCAGCGAAGGCAGGGGGCGGTCAAGATGGGGGGGGGAAATCATCTTCCTTCACCTAGGAGGGAGGCGGGGCGGAGGGGGGCGCTGGGGAGCGGGGTTGGGGGGGGAGGAGGAGGAAGGAAGTCACGTGGGGCGTGCGGCGCGCGCTGCGTGCGCGCGGCGCCTCATCCGTCGCCCCACCCCCTCCCCTCCGGCGGGGCGGGGGGGCTGGGGGGAGGGGCGTCAAGATGGCGGCGGGGAGGTAGGCAGAGCCGGACGCCGCTGCTGCCGCCGCCACCGCCGCCTCCGCTCCAGTCGCCTCTAGTTCTTCAAGCTCTCGCCACCCGGTAGGAGCTGTTCCGGCGTCGGATCGCGCGGGGAAAGTAAGTCCTTCTCTTACCCTTCTTCTGCTTCCACACTCTTCCCGGACAGCCAGCCTCCCACTCCCACCCTCCTCAGGGGGCCGTGTGGGGCCGGGCTGAGGGGGGGCAGCCACCTCACCCCGGCTTGGGGCCTCCCTCGCCCATCGCCGCCCCCTCAGCTGCGCGCCCCAGGGCTCTTGGGGGCAAGGTCCCGGCGCCGGCCCCGCCGCGCTCGCTTCCTCCGCCCGTCAGCGCCGGGCCCTGCGCTCGCTGCGCGTGGGGGCTTTCGGGCCTCGGGGGCCCCCGCTGTCCCGGGCCAGAGGCACCCAGTTTGGTCGCGGAGGCAGGATCTGCGGGCACCGGCTCCGGCTCCACTTGGGTCGCCCTCCTTGCTTTCCTTGTTCCGCTCAGGGATGCGAGGTCCCGGACCCGCAGGAAAGTGAGCTCCGCAATCCTTCAAAAGTCCTCCTGTCTGAGGGTTGCTCTTGGTTTGGGGCGAGTGCGGGAGGAGATAGGGGCGCCCTAAATCGGAACCCCACACCTGCAGTTTTCTGATTACCTCGCTCGCAGGGCGTCGAGGCAGTACGTGGGACACGTGGGGGCCACCTTCAAGCCTCACCGGGTGATTAGGTTAATTTTGTCTCGAGCTCTCTTGCCTCCTAGACCCTAAGCATCTGTGCAGAGAAAGGCGGTTGGGGATTTGCTTGCTGTAAGAGTGTTTGGTGTAAGGAGCATCTAAAGTTCCCCAAACCAGTGTATGCTGGTGGTTTCCCAGAAGTGGTTTGAGATCGGTTTAACCGCTGAGGAGATTTGGACGTTCCTGAACCCTTGTGATTGTTTCTTTCCTGACCCTGGCATCCAACTCCTCCCCCTTTCCACCCCGGCTTTGTGCTGCTGTTTGGTTAATGTTTGCGGACCACTAACTTGATCTCGCACAGAGAAGCCCTTTTTATGTGCGGGCTCCGTATACTGTAGGAAGCTTTTGTTTTGGGGAGTTGCTGGTTGAGAAACGTGGGGAAAGAACGGGCAAGAAAATTAGAGTCAAATAAAGCAACGTTTTTATTCATTGAATTGCGCAGCCAATTGTAACCTCACCCGGAAGTTTGTACTAAACACGTGTTGCTGAGGGAAGGTTAAAAACTAGGTCCCCTTTGACCTTTGAAAGTTGATTATTAGCCGTTTATGTTGAGTTAAATGTTTTATTTTCTCTAGACAACCACGTTTAGAGACGGAGTAGGGCTTCTACTGAGTCGGCCGGCGCGGTCCAGAAAGCTGTCAAACCCCGAGTTGCCCTAGAGGAAATAAACTTAGCACTTGTAGACACAAATCAGCTAGCAGTGCAGAAGGATTCCATATTTGCCTCGGTATATTTACTGCAGTCAGAAGTGATTTTTCTTAAGCTGTTGGGAAAGCCATTATCATTGCCCAAAAGATAGTTTGTATAGAATTTCTAGGATAAAATGCAGAATTTGCTATTGGTGCCTTGCGTGGGACAGTAATTTTGCAAGCAAGAGAACATTTTATTTTCATGTTTAAAAAAGTTGTTTCCAAAATTTATCTTACCAGAAAAAAATCTTTATTTTTTTCTTTTGGCTTCTGCATTTTTATCCCCAGTCTAACTTAATTCCACACAATTGTGTATAGGATTTTAAGTAAATTTTACTTTAGCTGCTGGGTAAGTTTTAAAAAGGAAGGCTTAGTTGGTGACTTACAGTCCATTCCTTCCTTCCTTCCTTCCTTCCTTCCTTCCTTCCTTCATTGGATGCTCTTAAGTGTCAGGCAATTTTACTGAAGGGCTTTGCTGAAATTATGTACTGCTTAATATAATGCAAATATAAATGTATAAAGTATAAAGATTGCTTAAATGTTTTTAAAAATGATTCATTTTAAAGGTTAAAGCTATAGATATATTTTGGTATTTCTTAGTTTCTAAATTGAGCTTTGATTTGAGACTTCCTCCTATGAAGGTGATGAACACTCAGGTCTGAGGTCTGGTCTTACCAAGTAACCTGACTTCATGAGTCTTTCAGTTCCCAGGCTTTGCCCGCCTAAAGTTGATGTAAAGATACTTTCTGGGGGTGCCTGGGTGACTCAGTCTGTTAAGTGTCTACCTTCGGCTCAGGTCATGATCCCAGGGTCCTGGGATGAAGCCCCACTTTGGGCTCCTTGCTCAGCGGTGAGTCTGCTTCTTCTTCCCTCTGCTGTTGTGCTCTCACTTTCTTTCTCCCTCCCTCTCAAATAAATAAAAGATCTTTAGGGGCGCCTGGGTGGCTCAGTCCGTTAAGCATCTGCCTTCGACTCAGGTCATGGTCCCAGGCCCCTGGGATCGAGCCCCACATCGGACTCCCTGCTCAGTGGGGGCCTGCTTCTCCCTCTCGTTCTGCCTGCCACTCTCCCTGCTTGTGTGCTTGTGCACTCTCTCTCTCTTTCTGCCGAATAAATAAAATCTTTAAAAAGAAATAAATAACTTAAAAAATCTTTTAAAAAAACACTTTCTGATAAGAGGAATTGTTTTCACATTATATAGCTAATAAAATGATGTAATCTGAAAAGTTTTTTACAGTTGTCTTTGTTTATGCTGACAGGTCTACTTTAGTGTGGTTCATTGAACTTCGTAAATATTAAGGACAGTCTTGGGATACCACTGAAATTTTCTGTAGGTGGAAAGGATAGGTTCTTCAAGAGCAGGAACTCTGCTTTTATGAATAAGATACAGTACAAAGCCCATCAAATTATTTAATTCTTGGGAGGCAGTATTTAGCATAGAGCAATGATTTTAAAACCTTTTTACTGCATCCCATGGTAAGACATGTTTTACACATCCACGCATAGAACTAAAAAACTCATGTCATGAAATAATGTTTATCCTCTCCACATGCTTGGTGTTTTCTGTTCTGTATTGAAATATTTAATAATTCTGGTCATGATACACTGAATTCACTTGACAGCTCATTGTGGTGTGACCACCAGTTTGAAGAACATGGTATAGGCTTAAGAATACAGAATCTTGGAGGGATAGGAGGTGGGAACTCCTCAGTTTCTAATTCTCCACACTTGCTTTGTTGTTGCCTTGTTACAATTCATTTCTCTAAGCCTCAGTTTTTCATCTATGACAAAGGGATAACATGTAGCATTTACTCATGGGTTATCTTGAGGCTTAAAAGAGAAAAAAATCCAACCCTGTAGTAAATCTCAAAAGGACTAGAGATCTGAGTTTGATGGTGGTAAGCAAGAAAGTTTTTTCATACACCCCCCCATTCTTTCATGTCCTTTTTTTGTAAAGCATGTTTGAAACCTTGTCATCCGCACATTACTTTGTGAATCCATTCTTTCTAGAAGTTTTGCAGTGAGAGTGGGGAGAGGCACACTTTACTGAGCAAGTGTTCCCTTGAAAAATAACTGTTAAAAACTACAGATTTTACCTGTGTAGGTAATGAAGATCCTTGTTAATGAATTTCTTCATACTATCTTCTATTCCTCCTGATGTTCTTAAAGAACCAGAACTCAGTAGGAACAATATAAATACCTTGTTCATGAACTTGTTCAGTATCAGCTGAATTTTGAGAGGATCATTATCCTTCACCTCCTTAAACTAGGTGTCATTCATCACCTCTGGACTGCATAAAAGCAAACCTGCAGCTGAGTTAGAAGTCAGACATATTTAGTGTTATTAAATAAAGAGGGAAAGTCCTGTTTGTTATTAGGCAAAGATAACTTACTAAGGGATATCTTTGCACATATACAGAGGTCTGCCAGTTTTCTCCAGACACACCAGTTGATTAACTGGACAAATTGAACATGTGACACAGCGAAAAGGAATTCGTATTTATAGAACTCATTTGGAAGTTAATTATTGAGTGGATTGCCAACAAGGTTTGTATTCTTGGAAATACTATTGTATCAGTGATGTGGGAGAAAATCTATTTTCTGACATGATGCTAATATCAAAGTAATAGTTAGTAGCTAGTAGGGTAACATTTATTCAACAGCAATCCTATAAGATAGATTCTATTTTTATTCCCATTTGAAAATGAGGAAACTGAGTCACACAAGTTATTACTTGACCATAGTTTACTACTGGTGTCTGAGGTAGCCAGTATTTGAACCCAGATATTTTGTTTGACTCCCTAGTCTTAGCCTCTGTGGTGTGCCACCACCGCTGCAGATAGATACCTTGTATCTCCCCAGAGCTGTAAAGGTCTGCTTTAGGTCTCAACAAGAGGAACCTTGTCCTTGTTGATAGGTTTCAGTGTTGGTATTCTCAGTGGGAACTATATCCTTTTATTCTTCTGATTGGCTATTATTTCTCAGGATTCTCTTCCTGCCAAGGATTCTCTCAGTTTCTCTCGACTCCGTGTCCTTGTTTATTATTTATCTTCGATGCTTTCATAGGAGTACTATTTTGAAATAGATGGTATTTTCCTAAGTATTTATGATAGAAATGGAACCTTTTTGTCCTCTGTTTTTTGAGATAGAGTCACTCTGGGTTTGGTAACTTTTGGGTTTGTTGGATTGCTACATGTTAAATGTCACCTAAGGTCCATGAAATCCTTTGTAGACACTGTAACACAGTTCTCTTACCCCTAACGGTGTTTGCATTTATATTGTATTTAGTGGTTTCAAAATGAAAATGTTTTCCCTTTCAAGAATTAATCTTACTTGTAAGGTGAGGAGGAGAAGATTGAATAATATAACCTTTTAAGGGTTCTCAACCTGAACATTGAAATTCTGTGTCTGTAATAGTTTCAGAATAGGAGAATTATTAGATATTAAGGTTTGTTTTTGTGTTTTTTTTTTTTAATATTAAGGGTTTTGCCTATTGGAGTTAGAGATATTCCTCTGTATCCCTTGCCCTCTTTCTCACTGCAAAAAAGTTCCAAGTAGAGAATTTGTACCCAATTGGCTAAGAAGGGATCCCTAGATTTTGTGTATGTTATGTATATAAATCGAAGGTATTTTTCATTAATTGCTGGCAGAAGGGCTGCTGGATATCTCAGTCACTTACATGTCTGCCTTTGGCTCAGGTCATGATCACAGGGTCCTGGGATTGAGTCCTGCTTCATGCTCCCTGCTCAGCGAGGAGTCTGTTTATCCCTCCCTCTGCCGCTCACTAGTGCTCTCTCTGAAATAAATAAAATATTTTTGTTTTTATTTTAATTTTTATTATTTATTATTTTATTTATTTGTATTTATTATTATTTATTTATTTATTTGACAGAGAGAGATCACAGGTAGGCAGGCAGAGAGAGAGGAGGAAGCAGGCTCCCTGCTGAGCAGAGAGCCTGATGCGGGGCTTGATCTCAGGACCTGAGCCGAAGGCAGAGGCTTAACCTGCTGAGCCACCGAGGTGCCCCATAAATAAAATACTTTTAAGAAACAGCTTGCAAAAGACATTGTCATTACTAAGTCAATACTCAGAGGTCTCAAATTGTGATTCCTGTGAGTGAGTTTTCAATAGGTCAGTGATAGTGTTATCAACTGTGCTGTTATTTCCTGTAAAAATACCAAGTTTCCCCCCATATTTTTCCCTTCCATGGTATTTTCTAATGCCCATTGTTCAGAAAATATATTTCAGAAAACTCTCATGAATTTAGTAATGTTTTTCACTGATTTTTGTTGCTTTCATTAATGATGTTTCTGTACTTCTTTAGTATAATTAGTCAGGGCTTAGTGTGCATCTAATGAATTAATGGGTCCTTTGGCTTCCAAGCGTTCTTTGGTCTGTCGTTTAGGAGTCATTGGTTTAAAACAATGTATTTTTGTTTCAAATGTAAATAAATCAATATTTTAAATATTTACTAAAAAAGATGACTTTTTTTAAAGTCTTTTAGACAATGTTTATTTATTTATTTTTAAGATTTTATTTATTTATTTGACAGAGATCACAAGTAGGCAAAGAGGCAGGCAGAGAGAGAGGGGAGGAAGCAGGCTCCCTGCGGAGCAGAGAGCCCGATGTGGGGCTCGATCCCAGGACCTGGGATCATGACCTGAGCCGAAGGCAGAGGCTTTAACCCACTGAGCCACCCATGCGCCCCAAAATATGACATTTTGATAGTCTCTGGAATTCTGTTAATCTAGGTCAGGATTAGTCATAGCAAGCAAGCCAAGACCACCACCTATTCCCACAGGTCATTGGTCTTAATGAGGTATTTTGTGGGTTGAAATGTTTTGTTGGTTTTTGTTTTTGTTTTTAAGATTTATTTTTTCGGGAGAGTGAGAGTGTGCACACATGTTGGCGAGCGGGGGCAGGGGAGGGCAGAGGGAGAGAGAATCTTAAGCAGACTCCCCACTGAGCAGGGAGCCTGACCCAGGGCTCAGTCTGATAACCCTGAGATAGTGACCTGAGCCGAAATCAAGAGTCTGACACTCGACTGACTGAGCCACCCAGAGGCCTTGGTTGAAATGTTTTTAAAGCATTGATTTAGGTCTCTTGGTACATGTTGGTACTATGTACTAGGATAATTTGTGAAGTATGGTCAGCTGTGTCTATATTAGAAAAATGATTAACTTTATTTTAAATCTGTATTGGGACATTTCTCCTATTTGTCTCCTCTGTTCAGTCCCTTCATGCTCTTTCTATCTTGCTATCCAATAATCTATCTCCATTCCTATTTTAACCTCAGACGGGCATTTATTCCAAACTTAAGTACTGAAACTGAGGTTTGCAACATTGACTTCTAGATCTGTTCTTCGGAAAGAGAATGCATGGGCTTTGGAAATTTAAACAATCTAGTGCTGGGTAGTTATAGGTACTTTAAGCTGAGCCTCGGTTTCTTTTTAATTTTTCACTGACTATATATTTGATGACAAATACCGTTTTACTTTACTTTTCTTTTTTTTTTTTAAGATTTTATTTATTTATTTGACAGAGATCACAAGTAGGCAGAGAGGCAGGCAGAGAGAGAGGAGGAAGCATGCTCCCTGCTGAGCAGAGAGCCCAATGCGGGGCTCGATCCCAGGACCCTGGGATCATGACCTGAGCTGAAGGCAGAGGCTTTAACCCACTGAGCCACCCAGGTGCTCTGAGCCTCGGTTTCATCTCTAAAACATTATAATGTCTATTTTTTGGGGGGATTGTTGTGGTCTAACACTGTCCTAACACTGTCAAGCTTGTAAAAGATACTTAGTCACTGTCAATTTCCTTACCTTTTCCTTTCCTACACAGAATGTATTTTTCCATAGATTTTTCCTTTCTCTGAAAAATTTTGGGGAAATCTTTGAGCTATTTCTTCTTCCTTGCGGCTCTCTGGTTAAGACTCCCTTCAAACAGTAGGTCTGCCCTGAGTTTCATTTCTGGATATCTGTAGTGTCTGCTGTAAACTCATTCATGTTTCTTCTAGAACTTCTTTCTAAGTGATGTATAGGTTTATGTGACATAGACCTACTTAGTAGAAGATTTCTCTGTTAAATATTTTACTTTCATTTGAAATAGTAGTTCTTATGTATGTTGGAAGTCATGGTCACAGAGGCTAATGCCTTTCTTTTTGTAGGACATAATGAAAACACTGACATTTAATTCTTTCACACAGCCTGAGAACAAATGAACTAGCTAAAGATTAGTGTATTATTTATGTAATATGAAATTAGTTTTTTAGGAAAAACAAGTACAGTAGCTTTCCCTGTTTATATAAATTGGTTATTTCAGATAATGACAAACATTAAAAATTGAGAAAGTTCTGTTAAGCTTTTTTCCCCCAAAGTAGATTTTTATATATTATACCAAGAAAACCCAAATCTAAAATGTATTTGTGGGGTGCCTGGGTGGCTCAGTTGGTTGAGTGTCTGACGGTTGGTTTCAGCTCAGGTCATGATCTTGGGGTTGTGGAATTGAGCCCCGCTTTGGGCTCCACACTCAGCACATAGTCTGCTTGAGATTCTTTCCCTCTGCCTCTCCTTCTGCCAGCCCCCATAAATCAGTAAAATCTTTAAAATGTATTTGCTTTCTTCTAAATAGGTATTTTCTCTCGCTAAACTCTCTAAAACTCGGGACGCCTAGATGGCTCAGTTGGTTAGGCGTCTGCCTTCAGCTCAGGTCATGATTCTGGGGTCCTGGGATCAAATCCCACATTGGGCTCCTTGCTTGGCAGGGAGCCTGCTAATTCCTTTGCCTGCCCCTGTCTCTCTTTATCTCTCTCTGAAAAATAAATAAAATCTTTTTAAAAAAACCAAACTATAAAACTCATTTTGGGGTCTCCCAGGCTCAGTGTTTATTTTTTTGCTTTCTCTTGGCTTAACTCTATAATCATCCATCAACTCATGCTTTTTGTGTATGTCATATTCTCTTCCATTTTGAACTTTTATACAAACTTAGTGTTATGGGTTGTCCTTCCTAAACATCTTGAAATTCATCCCCCCTTTTTTCTACACCCTGTCATTACAGCACATCATCTCTTTTTTGTTTTTTGTTTTTTGGCTTTTTGAGTTTTTATTAGATAACATGCATGAGCAGGGGGAGACGGTGGGGGAGAAGGAGAAGCAGGCTCCCTGCTGAGCAGGGATCCTGTTTTAGGGCTCTTTTCCAGGACCATGGGATCATGACCTGAGCTAAAGATTAGCCGACTGAGCCACCCAGGGACCCCACATCATCTCTCTCGGTCTGCTGTAGCAGTTACCTAAAATGTCTTCCTGCTTCTGGTCTTGCTCTACCCATTCTCAGTGTGCCCCCATACTTCCTCAGCATAATCTTTCTAGGTCACAGATCTGTGTCTTGTAGTTCTCAATCTGAAAACTTTTTTGACTCCCGCTACCCATGGGATTAAGTGTGCTCTCTGCCATGGTGTACAAGGTTGTGGGTGAGATCTTCCTCTTCTCTTGTCATCACCTGCCTGACACTTGGGTTTTTGTTCTGAACTTCCATACTAACAATGAATCGCACTAACCATTGTTCTTAAAGAGTGCCCACTGTCTTTCATATCTGCAGAAGAGTGAATGCGCTATCCAGAACATCCCCATCCGCCTGGCATTTCCTTCCTTGAGACTCCGTTCCATAGTCGTCTTTGTGACCTCTCTCCCCAGGCAAAGTTCAGCATTCCTTCTCTGTTCCTCCAACATTTTGTACACATACACTCTTGCTGTGATTTACATATTTCTCTGTCCTTTTCATCTTTATTGCGAATTTCTTGGAATCAGAGACTTTTTCTCTTTCATCTGATTTCTTGCCCGATATGTAGCAGGTTCTTCATAAATATCAAATGGATGGGTCTGGTAGAAGATGTTGGTTTGTATTTAGAAGAGAGTTAATTGGCATATTAAGTTTTTTATGTTAATATTACATATTTTGCTCTAAAGATGGTGGAACCAGGGCAAGATTTACTGCTTGCTGCTTTGAGTGAGAGTGGAATTAGTCCGAATGACCTCTTTGATATTGATGGGGGAGATGCAGGGCTTGCAACTCCAACACCTACTCCTACAGTTCAGCAGGTAAGAGTTTTCCAAAGTCTCTGTAAAAAGTAGATTTTTCTTAATTTCTATTTACAGAGTAAACGTTATTAAGACAATTTTAAATAAGCATGTGTATGTTATTTTTATATTAGTTTTCTCTCATGAGATGGAAAATATTTGCAGTGAAAAGACATTTCCTGCTTTGATATATACACAAAAGTAAGAGATGAATTGTTTAGAGCTCTTGTGGGAGGTTTGTTAATCTCCTTACTAGTTGTCTTTGTATTTTATAGGGACCCTCTTCTGAGGTTTCACTATACACATTCTCTGAAAGTAAAAAATAAGATTCTGGTATCAGTATAGTTTTGTGAAGATGTACTTGCAAAGATTATTAGTTCCAACCTGGTATCAGAGATTTACAATCTGTTTGAGTGTAAACCTTGTCATTTTAAAAATTTTAATAAATACATCTTTTGTTCTTGAAACAGAATTCATTGCCATCATTTTTTATTTTTTTCTCTGATGTTGTTTTCTCTCTAGTCCGTGCCACTTAGTGCATTAGAACTAGGTTTGGAGACTGAAGCATCAGTTCCTGTTAAACCAGAACCAGAGACGCTACCTACTCCAGCGCTATTAAATGTTAGGGTAAGAATGATTTACATTTGGTGTGACTGCTAAACTGGTTTTGAATTATAGTAAGAAAATAATTTGTAATATGAAGTAGTCTTACCTTACCAGTTCTGTTTTTTGCTACTTTCCAATATGCTACTCTCAGCTCCTATTTGATAAAATGTTTCTTTCATTCTTCTCATAGTTACATTGATCAAAAGATAATTAGGACAAAGCAAAGTTTTTTTAATTTACTCACTGTAAATAATACAAAATTCATTATGTAGAGATGAGCTACACATTATCTCACTACACATTTCATTTTTCCTTGTTGATTTCAGGTTTTGTCCATTGGTACATGGGATTTTTACGTAATGGTAATTGTGCTTTAAATATAGAGTTTCTCTGATTTTACCTTAAACATAGCAGTTATTAACTTAAGCTTAGCATATAAAATTATTGGACAGTCTGGTTAAAAAATTGATAACTTATGATAAATTACTGTTGAGAGTTTTGTTTAAAAGTGATAAGTGGGGCGCCTGGGTGGCTCAGTGGGTTAAGCCATTGCCTTTGGCTTGGGTTATGATCTCAGGGTCCTGGGATCGAGTCCCGCATCGGGCTCCCTGCTCAGCAGGGAGCCTGCTTCCCTCTCTCTCTCTCTGCCTGCCTCTGTCTACTGTGATCTCTCTCTGTCAAATAAATAAATAAAAATCTTTAAAAAAAAAAAATAAAAAATAAAAGTGGTAAGTGGTGGGATGCCTAGGTGGCAGTCCTGGTTTTTGTGTTTGTGAGTTTGAGCCCCATGTTGAGTGTTGAGATTATTTAAATTAATAAATCTTTATTATTAAAAAAAATTGCCTCCTGTGCTTATTTATTTAAAGTAGGCTCCATGCCCAGCATGGGGCTCAAACTCATGACCCCTGGATTAAGAACTGAATGCTCGGGGTGCCTGGTGGCTCAGTTGCTAAGCATATCTGCCTTTAGTTCAGGTCATGATCTCAGGGTCCTGGGATCGAGCCCTGCATCAAGCTCCCTTCTCAGCAGGAGGCCTGCTTCTGCCTTTCTCTCTGTACCTGCTTGTGTTCCCTCTCTCACTGTTTCTCTCTCTGTGTCAAATAAATAAATAAAATCTTAAAAAAAAAAAAAATTGAATGCTCTACAATTGAGCAAGCCAGGTACACCAAAGCTGCCTGCTTTAAAAAAAAAGTAATGCATGGTAATGTCTTAAGATTCTTGTTATAGGAGTCATGGGACAATAACAAATAGTTTGAGGAGGAAAGGAAGTAGAAATAGACTGAAATTTTAAAAAATCTTTGATTGCGCTTCAGTCCATGGTAGTCACACCGTCATTTTCCCAATCTTTGACCTTTTTCCCCAACTCCTAATGTCTCCCTGTACCCCCAACTATAAAAAAATAAAATGCTATGTAGCTTTGTCTTAGGTACAGAGGTAGTACCCATTCATTACCCAAAGGTAATACCCAACATATTATCACCAGTATGTGATATCGGTGGATTGGCTGGATCATTCATACAAATTAGGTGTTTAAAACCCTGTTTCAGTGGTTTTATCTTCTAAATTCTAAACATTGGTTTAGTCTGTATGATAGCAAACAAAGCATTGGGCAAGAATCATGGAATGGTAGCAATGGAAAATGAACCCCAGAGAGCCTGGGCCTCCGGGGGTAATGTGATTTGCTTGAAGTTATCAGAGATTGTAAATCTCTGATATCAGGTTGGAACTAAGAATCTTTGCAAGTACATCTTCACAAAACTATACTGATACCAGAATCTTTTTTTTTTTTTAAGATTTTATTTATTTTATTTGACAGAGATTACAAGTAGGCAGAGAGGCAGGCAGAGAGAGAGGAGGAAGCAGGCTCCCTGCTGAGCAGAGAGCCCGATGTGGGGCTCTATCCCAGGACTCTGAGATCACGACCCGAGCCGAAGGCAGAGGCCTTAACCCACTGAGCCACCCAGGTGCTCCTGATACCAGAATCTTATTTTTACTTTTAGAGAATGTGTATAGTGAAACCTCAGAAAAGGGTCCCTATAAAATACAAAGACAACTAGTAAGGAGATTAACAAACCTCCCACAAGAGCTCTAAACAATTCATCTCCTACTTTTGTATATATATCAAAGCAGGAAACATCTTTTCACTGCAAAGTTATCAACTTCGTTGGGGCAGTGCTGGGATTAGAGGTTCTTTCTGTTCCTAGTCCTTGCATTACATGGCATTACTACACATCACAACTTGCTTAGGAGAGTCCTTATTTATCCTTGCTGGCCCCGATAATTATAGACAATGTCACACTATTACTATACCCCCCCCCAAAGTGGTGTGTTTTAACTTGGTAGTGTATAGTTAGGCATATTTAATTAAAAATACAGTGCCAGTGTTTAAGTGAAAACTCAAGTCTGTTTTAGATGTTTAAATGGCCTCCCATGTTTGTGAATCTAAGCCACATTAGAGAGCTTGGTACTTCCTCAGTGGTCTGATGTGCTATGGTTTTCTTTTCTAGCAGCAGCCTCCATCTACTACAACATTTGTGCTGAATCAAATAAATCAGCTTCCAACCCTGGGATCTACAATTGTAATGACTAAAACACCACCTGTAACAACGAATAGGCAGACCATCACCTTAACAAAGTTCATCCAGACTACTGCAAACACACGCCCTTCAGTCTCCGCACCAGCAGTACGAAATGCCATGACCTCTGCACCCTCAAAGGACCAGGTTCAGCTGAAGGATCTGCTAAAAAATAATAGTCTGAATGAGCTCATGAAACTGAAGCCGCCAGCCAATATTGCGCAGCCAGTGGCAACAGCAGCTAGTAAGTGTGTCTGTTCTCAGTCGTGTCAGCCGGCTCCTTTTGGTAAGATGTGTCAGGGTGTTTTTAAGGGTTTCCTTGGGTCTTAAAAGAACCGGGTGTGAAGGACATATCTGTATGACTTTGTACAATTATAGGATTTATACAATTCAAAGGAAGGAGAAATTTAGAAGTCATAGCATTTACCTTGAAATGAAGTGTGGAATTACCAGGAGGCTACATTAATTAACACTATGAGATCTCAGTTTTATATATTGGGAATAACTAGTTAACATTTTCTCAGTCCTTTAAATCAGTACTTCTCAAACTTGAGAAGTGCCTGTGAATCACCTGGAGATCTTGTTCAAAAACAGAATCAGATTTGGTAGATGTGGGGTAGGGCCCAAGATTCTGCATTTCTAACAACCTTTTTGGAGGTGCTCAGGCTGGTGGGCCTTGGATCATGTGTAAGGTAACTAGCTTGAAACTGATACTTTTCTCCTTTCACTGTGACTTTTACAATTTTATTATTTACCTGTCATTGGCTTCATTGCTTGTAAGTAGATGTGTATTTAATAAATTCTCTTTTAAAATACATTTTGGAATGCCTTGGTGGCTCATTCGGTTGAGCATCCAACTCTTGATTTTGGCTTAGGTCATGATTTCAGGGTCCCGGGATTGAGCCCTGCATTGTCCTCCATGCTCAGTGCTGTCTGCTTGTCCCTCTCCTGCCTGCTCTACCCCTCTTCCTGCTCACATGCACTCTCTCTCAAATAAATAAAAATCTCTTTAAAAAAATAAGATACATACGTTTTCATTATTAAAAAATTATTATTATTATTTTTAAAGATTTTATCTATTTACCTGAGAGAGAGCCTGGCAGGGAGAGCTCGATCCCAGGAACCTGAGCCAAAGTCACTTAACCAGCTGAGCCACCAGGTGCCCCTTACTATATGTTTTTTAAGAATGAGTGCTCATACAATCCTTTTTCAAAAAATAGCTTTATTGAGATACATTGTACATACCATGAAATTCATCCTTTCAAAGTTCATGGTTGAGTGGATTTTAGTATATTCATTCAAATAGTTGATAAACCATCACCATGAGCTAATCCTTTAAGGATGGGATTTTATTTTATTTTATTTAAAGATTTTTTATTTATTTATTTGTCAGAGAGAGAGAGGGGAGAGAGAGCGAGCACAGGCAGACAGAATGGCAGACAGAGGCAGAGGGAGAAGCAGGTTCCCTGAGGAGCAAGGAACCCGATGTGGGACTCGATCCCAGGACGCTGGGATCATGACCCGAGCCAAAGGCAGCTGCTTAACCAACTGAGCCACCCAGGCGTCCCAAGGATGGGATTTTAAAGGGAAAGGTTCAGCAGTGGTTTGATAACGTTTTTTAAAGAGTTTACTTATGTAGAGAGAATACAGATTTTATTGTTAGTTTTTCTTTAGAGTGTTACTGCTTACTTTTTCAAATATTTATTGAGTGCCTACTATGTGCTAAGAACTCTTTTGGGCTTTTGAGGCTGTGGCTGGGAAGAAAACTGTTGAATCTCTTTTGTCCTGCAGCTTGCATTCTAGTGGAGAGAAAGAGATGATAAGCAAAAGAAAGAAGTTATATAGTGTGTCTGAAAGGAATAAGCACTGAGGAGAGGAGCAGAAAATGAGGTGTGTGGCAGGAAGAGGTTATAGTTTTGAGTGCAGTGTTCAGAGGAAGCTTCGTGTTTAGTAAGGTAATTTTTAAGGGTAAAATAGAATTATTAGGTATACTTTAAAATCTTGACCACATCAAATTTTAGTAGTACAGTTTTAGAAACTGAAAAACATGAACTCTTAAGAGGGATATTCTTTCCTTCCATTCTACATTCAGTTGAAGTGTATTCGAGTACTTGTTACATAACAGTACCATGGTGGGCACAGTTGGAAATGATAACTGACCTCGGTTATATTCTGAGCTGACCACTATTTTATAGTTTCAGGATTGGAATGGGTGCCTTTTTTTGCTCCCCCTTAAGTAAATTTCTTTGGGATTGTTGTATGTTTGGATTAAGGGGCTAGAATGAAGGTTGCTGAGGTCTTATACTAGTACATAAATAGCATTTTATTAGGGCTTTGGAATGAGCTGATACATATTAAACAGACAGTTCCTTTTTCCAAACAGCTGCCTTGTTTTTCTAATATTAGGAGGTAGATTTTTTTTTTTTTAAAGATTTTATTTATTTATTTGACAGACAGAGTTCACAAGTAGGCAGAGAGGCAGGCAGAGAGAGAGAGAGGGAAGCAGGCTCCCTGCTGAGCAGAGAGCCCAATGCGGGACTCGATCCCAGGACCCTGAGATCATGACCTGAGCCAAAGGCAGCGGCTTAACCCACTGAGCCACCCAGGCACCCAGGAGGTAGATTTTAATACCTGATACAGACCAGTGTATAATTTTTTGGCAGAATGGACTGCTTGGAAATTGTGCTTGTGTTTGTGAAGTATAGGGCTGGGGCATTCTAAAGCAATGGCCAAGAAGTATTTGGTAGGGTGTTGTAGAACTAACTTCGTGTCCAGTGACAGATACAGTTAAAAATATCAGATAATTTAGTCTTTTGTTTGAGTCCATACCACTGTGTTCTTATGGCTGTAGTTTATTCTCAAGGTCATTGTCCTGAACTAACTGCAACCTGGCAACTACATGCCCATTAAGTCATTTGAACTGTCTTAGGACTGATTTTTACTCTGCTCCACCAGGGAGATCAGGAGCATGGCCCCCAACTAGCTGGGGTGCAGGGCAGCATCTGGAATGATTCCTGGGAGTCTTGGATGATCAGCAGTTAGTGGAAACAGCTGTCATTAAAATCTGGATTTGAGGAGAAATCCAGCTGCTTTTATGTGAGTGGCTTCCTGAGCATTCCACTCTTCAAATCAGCACATGTTCTCATAATTTAAAGAAGACTGCTATCATCAGGGAAGTTTAGAAAGCAAAACAAAACAGGATAGGTTTGGAGCTGATCAAGTAATGCTTAGTACAGTAACATCTCCCACATCCAGTGGAGTAATTTTAAAAAGACAAAAGAGTACAAATCAAGGCCGTCCTTGTGTGGAAGTCTGAGAAACTATCAGACTGGACCAGGGCTGAAAAAGAAACATGTAAGTGAATGCCAAAGATAAGCATACTTTTGTGTTGAAGCACAGGGTAATCTTTTTACTGGAAGAGAACAGTAAAAGTATGAAACTGCAAAGAGCAAGGTTTTGCATGTTTCTCTCTCCTTTATCTATGCGTGTTGCCCTCTGGAGCCTTGAGCCCTCTGGCTCTCTGTTTGGGTGCTGAGCTCTCCCGTGAGGTCTGGGTTCTGTACTCTGCCAACTTTTCACTCTCTCTCGCCCAGTTACATTAAATACATAAATTTGTTATCTCTGTTCCAGCCTTATTTTGTTAAAATTTCAGTTGTAGTAATTTTGGAGTCCCAAGTGACAGGTCTCCCATATACTCCATATCTTTTGGTTGAGTAGATAAGATGTTAATAAGTCCTTCTGGTGTGATTTCCACACTGATCTCAGAAATTCCAAGTACCTGAAGTGAGTGCTTCATGCAGGCTGGTTACGGGGGCTCTAGCTCTAGACTGCTTAGTCAGGCAGTTCGGCTTGACCTGATACTCAGATTGAGGAGTTGTCTTACTGTATCTAAAAAGAGTTTGGTAAAAAAAAATAATAATATAAAAATAAAAAGAGTTTGTAAACCACCGGTATTGAAGAAGAAAAGATTAATTGTTTGGATCTTTATTCTGGGGAAAGAGGGAAATAGAGTTCCCCAATATTTTTTTCACCCAAGAAATAATAATTTGCCTCGAAAGTAAGTATCACCAACTCAGATGAGATTGATTCTGTCTTGATGATAACACCATTCTGGTTGGTTGGTTGGTTTGTTTGTTTTTGATGAACCAAGTGAAGTATCCCTGTTGATATTTGTATTAAAATGAACTATCAAATACTTGTGGTTAATATGTCCTTTTCATAACTGGTTCTCAAGTTTTGAGTACACACATTTCTGTTTAAGTTACTTGTTTTCTAAGGTTAATTCTTAGCTGCATGGTAACACATAACTTTGAATGTTTTAATTCTTAACGCTTAGTTTAGGTTAGTGACAAGCAGGTTGGTATTCTTTGGCTCATGAAATGGGTAAACTTGTACTGACTCTTTAGATTTATTTTTTTAAAAATCTGAATTTAAAAAAATTATAGTAAAACTTTTACTGAAAAGAAATTGGTATTTTGTTCTAAAATCTAGTAACTCTCCCCTCAGCTGATGTAAGCAATGGTGCTGTAAAGAAAGAGTCTTCTAATAAAGAAGTAGCAAGAATATGGATAAACGACATGAAAATGAGGAGTTTTTCTCCAACCATGGTGAGTTTCAAAAGTGCATCTGTATTGTGTGGTATAGATGTATGCTTGGCTAAAAGTGGTCTTAACCTCAGAAAAACTTCTTTTTGAGTGAAGGGGGGCTACTCAACTACATGAACTAAGGAATAAGCACGAAATCTCAAACTGACATACTAAATGAGGTGATGAGAGCTTGCATATTTGATAGGGTTTGGTATTACAGGACTGACAATCTCATCTGATCAGAGACAAAGATAATTTGGAATTAACCAAAGTATTTGATAACTATGTCCATTTGGGGATTGAACCTGAATACATAGCTAATTATGAGCTATCAGGTTGTATAATGTTCTAGTTTTAAGTAATTTTTTTCCTTAAATTTTGGAAATGCCTTGGATTAATTAACTCTGTACATTTATTTCATAACTGTGCTGTGTGTAACAGTGCCTGTGTGTGGTGGGTTTGAACAAGCGGTGTACTACTTGGCTCCCCCTTCCATAATCACACAGTTGGACAAACACTTGGTTTAAGTAGTATAAAGGATCGCAAAAAGTACATTGAGTTACTCACAATTAGGATTAGGAAATTGGAGGAAGAGGAAACCTCCCTGGACTCAGATGGCCTGGGAACACTTCATTTTGTGGAGCAGGTATGATGGAGATTAGGTGTTGGATTTGGAGAGACTGTAAGAGGGCATTTTAGGAAGGGAGCTAAAGCATTGATAGGCACAGGGGAGGTGGTGGCTATATACTTAGATGGCAGTAAGCCAGGAGAAAGTTGGAATGGTTGGTTTTGGCACTGTGGAGGTTCCTGAGTTGAGTTTGAAAGACTTTGGGTACCTGGGTGGCTCAGTTGCTTAAGCGTCTGACTCTTGTTTCTGCTCAGGTCATGGTCTCAGGGTTGTGAGATCAGGCCCTGTGCTCAGCGGGGAATCTGCTTTAGATTCTTTCCCTCTGCTCCCCCCACTCCTGCTTACCTGCATGCGCATGCTCTGTCTCTCTCTTGCTTGCTCTCTCAAATGAATAAATAAATCTTTAAAAAAAAAAAAAAAAAAAAAAAAAAAAAAGACTTGGTGTAGCACCAGTGGGGGCCCCTGGAAGTGAAGGATCCTATTAGTGTTTCAGGGTGTCAGGTGGGGAAGAGAGGCAGGTTGGAAGGTTAGTTAAGTACTCCAGAGGGAGAAATTAAGAGACTAAACTTGGAGGATTGCAAAGAGGGTGGGAAAAGGTGAGGGGAAAGAAAAAAAGGAAAATAGGAGATGACTGCATGTAACAATACCGAAGAATTGATAGGACTTAGGGATGGAATATGGAATTCGAAAGACAGCACGGCAATCTGTGCCTGAGGTTTTGAGCAGGGACCAGGAAAATGAATGCTGGCAGGACCCAGTTTACTTAATGGTTGTGTACCAGCAACTTACGTGGAAGTTGATTTTTAGAAAGTACAGTTGCATTTTTAAGAAATGTACATAGATTCCCATTCCAGCCCATGTTTGCCCATGATATGCCAAAAGTTCTATGTTGTCCTTGCAGTTAAGAAACATCTAACAGGTGCATCTGTCTGGCTCAGTTAGTGCAGCATGTGACTGTTGATCTTGAAGTCTTTAGTTCTGGCCCCACATTGGGAATAGACCTCTCTTAAAAGAAAAGAAAAGAAACATCTAGCAGGGATTACAGACTGCTAGACTGTGCACCAAAGCCAGTTGACAGATGTGTTCTGTTTGGCCTCCACAACATTTTGAAAGATTTTTAGTTTGTTGCTACCACATAAAGATCCTGAACTCCAGGTTCTCTTGAAAACTAGGAGTACCTGACAACCCTGGGTTCACATTCCCCACCTCGTAAAGCATGCCTCAAGTTTAGTAGTGAACACGTGTTTTATGTGTTGGGCAGACCTTTCCCAGGTACCACAACCTTTCCCTGCTCCCCCTCATGATTCTCTCCTTGATCCTAAGCTTGGTGGCCCTCAGTTGCCATTTTACTGGCTTAGAAATTTACCTGTCTGGTCCCTGATTTTGTGACCAGACAGTGTCACCAATTTATCTTCCAGTTACACTCTTGGTAATTTTTTCTTTTTTTCTTTTTTTTTAAATTCAGGTATAGTAAGATAAGATAGAAAGGGAAGGCCAGCCCTTTAGTATGCGTTCTTACTTGGTAGGCAGGGAAAGGGCTGAAGGTGGGGGTCAGGAGGAGTCAGAATTTAAGTCATTTGCTTAAGGCCACACAAAAAACCAGCAGAATGGGGATTTACATCTGTTTCTTTGGCCAGCCCCACTTTGTCTACAGTTTCTGTAATTGAGTTTCATTTTGGCTATAAGAGCATTTGGAACTGTTTTGGATTTTTTCTCAGGATTCCATGGGTTGATGTTGATTGGGTGTTTGTCTACCATCTCTCTTCTCCTTCCCACTTTTATTGAGCATCTTTGTGCCATCATACTCTAGACCAAAGAGAAAGAAATCAAAATGCCTGCCCTTACCTTTCAAGGCTTTGTTGCCTTTGGCATTGCTTATAGGTCTTGACTCGTTTCTCTTTCTTTTTCTTCTTCTTTTCTACATTTACTGGGTTTCACAGCTTTTTCTCTGTAGTTTTTCTTGAACAAGCACATTAATTAAGAGCTTTGCTGATGGTTTTACTTGTAGTGAAAGGAGGCAAGTACAGGGTCTTTCTGTTCCCCTAATCCTCTGTATCTTACCCTTCAAGATTCGGTGAAGAAAGAAAGGAACATGTGACTGGTAACCATTCACTCAAGTTGCCTGGGACAGTCTGGCTTCATTCCTGTTTTCCTGGTTTAATTAGTAAGAGCTCCCCATTGCATTTTTCGGTGTTCTAGGGTTTGGAGAGTAAGTGCTTGGCTATCTTACATGATTGTTGCTTGGAGGCACAGATGTCAAGTAGATTCTCTGTACTTCAAAAGAACCTTTAAATCCAGAGTTTTCTGGGGTTTTGGTTTCCATGTCTGATGGAAAGAAGACAGCTGGAGTGAAGGTGCACTGAAATGAGGGTGGGATGTGTAACTTCAGCAGTTTCTGGCACTGAGGTTGTAGGATGAGCTTCTGGGGCTAGCTCATCCACCTTTGCTCCCCAGATCTTTTGGTCTTTCTGTTCCTAGAACTGAAATGAAGACTGAAGACTGAGGTTAAAAAAGAGTTCTGGACATCATGGAGGGTGGTAGGCAATATTGAAGAGGAAAGTTTGAGATAGTGGTGGCTGGAAGGATGGTGGAGCCCTGAGGTGACCCAGTGGTGTGTTAGGGATGAGAGTTGGGTCATGGATTACCTGTACTCATTGGAGAAGCACAGAAGATGTAAAGTGTGACCCAGATTTTAGGGAATATAGAAGTGATGTGTCATGTTTCCAAGACTGAAGACTGTTTAGTATACCTACAGAAGAGTTTTTCTTTGTGTTGGTTAGGCTTCCAGTCTCTGATTATGCTCCCACTCTGTTACAGAAGGTCCCTGTTGTGAAAGAGGAAGATGAACCGGAGGAAGAAGATGAAGAAGAAATGGGTCACGCAGAAACCTATGCAGAGTATATGCCGATAAAATGTATGTTGTTGGAATCTGTCAACATAATGAAAGACTTCCCTTTCCCATAATGAAAGTTCTTTCCCATAATGAAAGTTCTTCTTGAACTTAAGTGACTTTCCCACACATGTTATTATCTATTAGGATCTGTCAATATTGAGTACCTCAGAATTTGACAAGAGCTTTGTAATAGGTTTTAAATTATAATATATTTTAAAATACCTACATGAAAATTTTGCTGTGGGTTATTTTCCCTATGCAAACGTAGAACCATTTTGGGCTGAAGTCCTTTAAGAGTAAAAAAGCTTGGATTTTATTTTGTTTCAAGTTAACTTTGCTCATATTAGTGATTAGAAAATCATAGTAAATTGCAGAGATAGAAATCTGTATCTTAGCTTTATATATTTTGTATAAACAAAGCACAAAAACACGGGAATCTTAAAAATGTGCTGTTTATTTCATTGGAGTACATAAACACTTCTGTCCTTTTTTCTGTAACAACCGTGATTTATTTTTTTAGTGGCCACTATGTCAAATTGGAAATTAATAGTTTGGGGCACCTGGGTGGCTCAGTTGTTGGGCATCTGCCTTTGGCTCAGATCATGATCCTGGGGTCCTGGGATCAAGCCCCATGTCGGGCTCCCTGCTCATCGGGAAGCCTGCTTCTTCCTCTCCCACTCCCCCTACTTCTGTTCCTCTCTCACTGTATCTCTCTGTCAAATCAATGAAGAAAATCTTTAAAAACAAAGAAAATTAGTAGTTTTTAGTTTTGATGTAAAAATGTTCACTTTTTCATTTTATGGGGGAGATAAGATGAAAAAATAAATGGCTAGAATCCTTTATGTACTCCAAGTTTCTATGAAAAGCTACTAATACTACCACTTAAACTCAAAATTTCTGTTTACCAACTATGTATTGACTTCAGGATCCCATAATTTCTGGTCATTTAAAATTAACTTCAGATGGTGTCTGGCTGGCTCAGTTGGTAGAGTATGAGACCTTGATCTCAGAGTCATGAGTTCAAGCCCCAGTTTGGATGTGGAACCTACTTAAAAAGAACATATACATACATAAATTTTATTTTATTATTTTTTTAAGATTTTATTTATTTATTTGACAGAGATCACAAGTAGGCAGAGAAGGCAGGCAGAGAGAGAGAGGAGGGGGAAGCAGGCTCCCCACTGAGCAGAGAGCCCAATGCGGGGCTTGATCCCAGGACTCTGGGATCATGACCCGAGCTAAAGGCAGAGGCTTTAACCCACTGAGCCACCCAGGTGCCCCAATACATAAATTAAAAGAAAAAGAAAAATCTTAGGTTGTGGTATCTCAAATGGGTGGTTTCCCTCAATCTCCATAATGGTTTTCATAAAAGAATTGAAAGTTTACCCGTGGCCCTTTAAACCGAGGTCAGCAAACTAAATTTGGACCATCGCCTGTTTATATAAAGTTTTATTGGAAAATAACTATGGCCATGAGTTTGTTTATTTATTTATTGGCTATGGCTGCTTTTACACTGCTACAATGGCATTGTTCAGTAATAGACCAGCTGCTCAGCAAAGCTGTAAATACTAATTGACTTATTTATAGAAAAAGTTTGCTGACCTTTATTTAAAACTATTCACATAATGCATTTTGAGGAATTAGTTGCTGTTTAATTTTATATCCAAGATTTCCATTAAAATACCTTTCAGAATAAAATTAAATTCCAGACTTTTTGTTTTACTAATTCAAGTGAATGATTCATCAAATAGATTTTTTTTTTAAGATTTATTTATTGGTTTGTTTGTTTTTAAAGATTTTATTTGTCAGAGAGAGATCCCAAGTAGGCAGAGAGGCAGGCGAGGGGGGGGGACAGCCTCCCTGCTGAGCAGAGAGCCCGATGTGGGGCTCGATCATGACCTGAGCCGAAGGCAGAGGCTTTAACCCACTGAGCCACCCAGGCGCCCCAGATTTATTTATTTGTTAGCATGCACATAAGCAGGGTGAGTGGCCAGCAGAGGCTCCCTGCTGAGCAAGGAGCCCAATGTGAGACTCTATCCCGGGACCCTGGGATCATGACCTGAGCCGAAGACAGACGTTTAACCAACTGAGCTACCCAGGCGTCCCTCAAATAGATTTCCAAATCTAGGATTTTATTTTGTTGCTACTGGAGAACCTGGTGATACAAACTAAGTTGATATTTTTCTGTATCTTTTTTTTTTTTAAGGTTTTATTTATTTATTTGATACAGAGAGAGATCACAGTAGGCAGAGAGGCAGGCAGAGGGAGAGGGGGAAGCAGGCTCCCTGCTGAGCAGAGAGCCCAATGCGGGGCTCGATCCAGGACCCTGAGATCATGACCTGAGTGGAAGGCCGAGGCCTAACCCACTGAGCCACCTAGGCACCCCTTTCTATATCTTTTTTAATTAGCAGGTCTCTATTTTAACCGTAAGTATTTGATAAATTGGTCCTTTTATCAAATTTAAGTATTAATTTACCACCTATTGGTGCCTTTTTAGAATCCTGGAGTGTATAGTTACTTACTTACTTTTATTTTCTCTGACAGCAAAAATACGGCAATATTATATAATAAAACTGGGAGCATTATTACCTAGAAAAATTAAAATGAAGTATTTTTAAATTTTCATTTAGTAAAAATTGGCCTACGTCATCCAGATGCTGTAGTGGAAACAAGTTCTTTGTCCAGTGTTACTCCTCCTGATGTTTGGTACAAAACATCCATTTCTGAAGAAACCATTGATAATGGCTGGTTGTCAGCGTTACAGCTGGAGGCAATTACTTATGCAGCCCAGGTAAGCAGTATTTCATAATTACATACAATATATTTATCTTTTAATCCTTGTCCATATAGTATAGTTGCTTTAACATAAAGGCAATTTTCCTTGAATGAAAAACTTGTGCTTATGATTTTACAAAAGTTTCATTTGTTAGAAAATTATTTATTTTCTTATTTTAGAGAGAGAGCATGTGTGAGCAGGGGGAGAAGCAGAGGGAGAGGGATAACCAGACTCTGTGCTGAGTGTGGAGCCCAATGCAGGGCCTGATCCCATGAACCCAAGATGATGACCTGAGCTGAAATCAAGAGTTGGACGCCCAACCAGCTGAGCCACCCAGGTGCCCCTCGTGTGTTAAAAAATTAAAGGGGTAGCATGGATGCAGGGGGTTCATTTTTACTGGAAATGAAAAATGTTATAACCTTTTTGGAATTCACTGGGGATGTGTACTAAAAATGTGGGGTGCCTGGGTAGCTCAGTTGGTTAAGTGTCAGACTCTCGATTTCCGCTCGGGTCATGATCTCAGGCTCTGTCCTAGGTGTGGAGCCTGCTTAAGATTCTCTCTGTCCTCTCCCCAAACCCAGCTCTTGTGCATGTGCTTCCTCTCTCTTTTAAAATAAATAAAAATAAAATTACATATATCCTATTGTGCCTGGCTGGCTCAGTTGATAGAGCATGACTCTTGATCTTGGGGTCATGAGTTCTAGCCTTGCATTGAACGTAGAACTTGCTTGAAAAAAAAATTACATATGTCCTTTGACCTAACAATTCCATTATTGGAAGTCTATCCAATACAACTATTAGGTTAAGAATATATACATTAAGGATATGGATGGATGACTGTTTGTTGCAGCTCTTTTAACCCTGTTTCCTGAATGCTAGAAAGGACCTAAAAATCCCATACCCTGGTGGCTATTTGAATGAACTGTGGTATTATTGTATGGGTATTGTACTGGCTTTCAAAACCATGAATTAGTTATGCCAGTTTTCTTGAGAGGATTTCTTCTGCACTCCATTTCTGTAAAATAAGCCGAACAGCTAACCGTCCTCCATATTTATGTGTGATTGTTTGTATTTGACTATGCAGGCATTGAAAGAGACACAGAAGAATGCTAACTGGGGTGCCTGGGGGGCTCCGTGGGTTACAGCCTCTGCCTTCGGCTCAGGTCATGATCCTAGGGTCCTGGGATCCAGCCTCACATCAGGCTCTCTGCTCAGTGGGGAGCTATTTCCCCCTCTCTCTGCCTACCTCTCTGCCTGCTTGTGATCTCTGTCTGTCAAATAAATATATAAAATCCTCAAAAAAAAAAAAAAAAAAGAAGAAGAAGAAGAATGCTAACCAATTTGTTAACTCCAGTAACTTCAGTTACCTGATGCATGTGATTGTAGCCAGAAAGAATACATAGTAAATATTAAGAAAGAATCCTTACTGAGCTAAACTTTGTGCCATTTGTATACACATAGATCACATTAATATATTCCTACAACAGTGTTTGAAAGGTGGATCATCCCAGTCTCTAAAGGAGTAGCTTAGTTATCAGCTTTCTCTTTTTCAGCAACATGAAACATTCCTACCTAATGGAGATCGTGCTGGCTTCTTGATAGGTGATGGTGCTGGTGTGGGGAAAGGAAGGACAATAGCGGGAATTATCTATGAAAATTACTTGTTGAGTAGAAAAAGAGCATTATGGTAAGTGCCAAAGACTGTCTGTGGAAGCTTCTTTTGTGAATAGTTACTCCAGCATGTAAGATGGGTTTTAATGAGCAGGTGTATTTTTTTTTTTTAAATGTCAAGCCCTGTTTTTATTTATCCTGAATATTGCTAGATTGATGGAATTTGCATTTAATTACTTTTTTTTTTCTTTTTTATGTGGCAGGTTCAGTGTTTCAAATGACTTAAAGTATGATGCTGAAAGAGATTTGAGGGATATTGGAGCAAAAAACATTTTGGTTCATTCATTAAACAAGGTATAAAAGTTTTCTATTTGGTTAGTCATTCAGTAAATATTGACTCGTCTATGAGATGGGAATAACAGTTTCTACTTTGTAGAGTTGTGAGGATTAAGTGAATTATTTTACAGAAGACATTAGTGAGTGCTAGTTGTTCTTGGTTTGTGGGTTCCTGTGCATCAAGTACTGTGCTAGGTACGGTTGTATAGTGGCAAACAAAATGGGCCTTGTCTCTGTCATCATGGAGTTCTCAGTTTTTGGTGCTCTTTTTGTCTTTGTTTCCGAGGTAACCTTTCATGGCTGAAACTCATACCTGTGAGTAAAAGGGTGTAGCATAGTAAAGCTGTGTGGACAGGTACTCGCAGCACATAGAGAGTTTTTGAGGCTTGGAGATTGATTTGGAAAAACCCACTGGATTTTTGTATCTGTACCTGTGTTCATGTTAAAACAATTCTGTCAGGTGGAAGAAAATGTGTCCCAACTATCTAAAGCATACTATAATATGATAGTAATCTTAATGTTCATTCGGCAAATCATCACTGACCTCCTGTGTACCAAGAGCTGGAGTAGTACATTAGGCAGACTTCCTGCAGGTAGGTACCTCCCTGTTAGCCTTTTGAAAATAGGTAAATGTAAATCTACTTTCCATGTGAGCCCTAGGTTGGTTCAGTGTTGGCCTGCTCATCATTGGCTTTTTTGGGTGGGTATCTGGATTTGTAGGTAAAGTACTGTGTCTTGAATGATTCCTCACAACTCAAAACTAAAAACATGTCACTGGCATCTAGAAATATTTTTGATTTTTTTTTTTTTTTTTTTTTAGTCCACACAATTGAAGAAGGGTATATTAATTACTAATCATAGTTCTTTATATATGTCTTAGAATTTAATTATAATGACTTGCCATACAGTAAGTGCATAATAAATTTTTATAGAGTGAATATTGTGACTTTTTTTTCTTGGAGTGAGGGTTTGGTTTGTAATCTTTTCTTGTTGATAGAAGTTTTTGAGGTACACGTGGGTGGCTCAGTCAGTTGAGCATCTGCCTTTGGCTCAGGTTATGATCCCAGGGTTCTGGGACTGAGCCCCTCATCAAGCTCCCTGCTCAGTGGGGAGTCTGCTTCTCCCTCTCTCTCTGTCCTTACCCTCCCCATGCATGCTCGCTCACTCTCTTTCTCAAAACGAATAAAATCTTTAAAAAAAAAAAATGTTTTTTGAGACTTTGATGAAAACTAGATCGTTGTAACACGAAGTTGTATATATGTGTGTGTATATATGTGTGGGTGCATGCACGTATGTGTGTGTGTATACATACGTAGAAGTTTCGTGTGTGTGGTCTTAGGGGCTCTTTTGACTTCCCTAAAACGCATGATGGACCCACCAATTTCCTCCTATAGAAGTTTGGGTGGGATAGATTCTTCAGAGAAAAAAGTGTATATGTTAAATTCTTCTTTTTTTCTTTTTTAGTTTAAATATGGAAAGATTTCTTCCAAACATAATGGGAGCGTGAAAAAGGGTGTCATTTTTGCTACCTATTCTTCCCTTATTGGTGAAAGTCAGTCTGGCGGTAAATATAAAACTAGATTAAAACAACTTCTGCATTGGTGCGGTGATGACTTCGATGGAGTGGTATCCTTTACAACAAATGTTTTTGTATTTTTTAATGACCAAAAGTGAATGTAAAAATTAACATTGGGGCACCTGGGTGTCTCAGTGGGTTAAGCCTCTGCTTTCGGCCCAGGTCATGATCTTGGGGTCCTGGGATCGAGCCCCACATCGGGCTCTCTGCATGGCGGGGAGCCTGCTTCCCCCTCTCCCTCTGCCTGCCTCTCTGCCTACTTGTGATCTCTCTCTGTCGAGTAAATAAAATCTTTCAAAAATAAACAAACAAACATACATTTAAAACTACATCCTGAGGGATGCCTGGGTGGCCCAGTTGTTTAAGCCACTGACTTTGGCTCAGGTCATGATCCTGGAGTTCCGGGATCAAGTCCCACATCAGGCTCTCAGCTCCTCGGGTATCTGCTTCTCCCTCTGACCTTCTCCCCACTCTTGCTTGCTCTCTCTCTCTCTCAAATAAGTAAAATCTTAAAAAACAACAACAAAACAACTACATCCTGAGATTAACTGATATTGCCTGGATGAGAGCTTTCATGACTTCCCAATGTCCAAGGGAGATTCTGTTTTGTAGCTGTCGTGTAAGAGGCCAATATTTAAGCTTCTGGTTTAGGAAAATGTTAACAGATGTGGGAAGTGATGAATACTGTATTCCGCTTTTGGGGATTCACACCGCATATTCACATAGTAAAGCACCTGAGAAGACTAAGGGGAAGAAACTGTGAACTTAGTGATTTCCAAACCTATTTGCCCATAGCACACCTTTCACTGTTATGCATGAAGAATGTTTTCAAATGGTGATTAAATTAGTCACCAATTATACTTCTGCTTAGAGAATTTGCCAAAATTTTCTGTGTGGTGGACATACCTTGCCACAGTGGAGTCTTTTCTTACATTCTAATTAATAAATATCTGGTCAGTATAAATAAGCAAAATAATTTGGTTGCCTCTCAGACTTGAGAGGGAGGGGTGATGTCAAGGAGAGGCACATAGAGGGCTTCATTTATGTTTCTTACCTTAAAAAGAAAACCATCTCAGGCAAGTAACAGTAAAATGTTAAGGTTTAACAAAACACCAGATGATGAAAAAAAAACAAACACCAGATGATGGGTATGTTGGTGTAATTTTAAAAAGTTAATGCTCAGGGGTTTATTATCCACAGCATCTCTCCCCTTCCTGATTGTCTTGAATTTGACCCCACCAAATTCTACCACACCAGAAATTTGGGATGTTTCCCAAGGCTTTCAAATAAACCTTAAGTTTTCCTTAAGGATTAGCGATACTTGCTACTGTGATATGTTCCTTAATTCTTTCTATACAGATAGTGTTTGATGAATGTCATAAAGCAAAAAACTTATGTCCTGTTGGTTCTTCAAAGCCAACCAAGACAGGCTTAGCAGTTCTAGAGCTTCAGAACAAATTGCCAAAGGCCAGAGTTGTTTATGCTAGTGCCACTGGTGAGTTGTTATTTTATTTGAAAGATATGTGTGGGTTATTTTTTCAGCTATAAAATGTTTTGTTTCTGAATTTTTCAGGTGCTTCTGAACCACGAAACATGGCCTATATGAACCGTCTTGGAATATGGGGTGAGGGAACTCCATTTAGAGAATTCAGTGATTTTATCCAAGCAGTAGAACGGAGGTAAAGCAATTTACAGTATACATTGTCTGTATACATTGTCTTTTCTCAGTTGCAGTCTAAAAGAGGTGTTACTGCTAAAACCTTTTCCACTTATATTAAAGCCCTTTTCCACTTATATTAAAGCCCTACTATATTTAATGATAGTTACTGTGTGTTTTAATTTTATTCAGAGGTGTTGGTGCCATGGAAATAGTTGCTATGGATATGAAGCTTAGAGGAATGTACATTGCTCGACAGCTGAGCTTTACTGGAGTGACCTTCAAAATTGAGGAAGTTCTTCTTTCTCAGAGCTATGTGAAAATGTATAACAAAGCAGTCAAGCTGGTGAGAAGTTTTTTCTTAATTCCTAATATTTTTAATGTCTCTCAGTTCACAAGTATATATTTTGCTATAAAACAACAGATAAGGCGCTAGATGCCCATTTTCCTAACTTCCTAAGCTTTCTCTTTTGTTAAAGTAATTTATTTTAAAAAAGCCATTTGTAATGGGTCATGTGGCTGGCCAAGTCAGGAGGGCGTGCAATTCTTGATCCTTGGGGTTGTCAGTTCGAGCCCCATGTTGGGTGTAAAAATCACTTAAGCCTTAAACTTTTTTCCAAAAAAACGTTTAAGTTGCATAATTCTGTTTATTTATTTATTTATTTATTTATTTATTTATTTAAGATTTTATTTATTTGACAGAAGAAGACACAACAAGAGAGGGAACACAAGCAGGGGGAATGGAAGAGGGAGAAGCAGGCTTCCTGCCAAGCAGGGAGCCCAATGTGGGGCTTGATTCCAGGACCGGGGGATCATGACTTGAGCTAAAGGCAGATGCTTAACTGACTGAGCCACCCAGGCGCCCCTAAGTTGCATAATTTTAAAAATTACAATGTAACTATTTCCTGCAATGACTCTAGTAGCTGATAAGAATTTAGAGGCACCTCTGTGAGCATCCTGAAAAACATTTGTTTAGAGATGGCCAAGTTACTAAAGATGGTTCATTAAATTAGTATTAGTCTTGTACTTAACAGTATTTTGCTCGAATCGGTCATTTTTAAAAAATCACATGCATAGATGAAATGTCTAAAATGTGGATTTTCCCTCTTCAGTGGGTCATTGCCAGAGAGAGATTTCAGCAGGCTGCAGATCTGATTGATGCTGAGCAACGCATGAAGAAATCCATGTGGGGTCAGTTCTGGTCTGCGCACCAGAGATTTTTCAAATACTTGTGCATAGCATCCAAAGTTAAAAGGGTTGTGCAACTAGCTCGAGAAGAAATCAAGAATGGAAAAGTAAGTTGAAGAACACACTGAGAGATTTGGTCTTTGGTTATGTTTCCAAATCTTTTGGGTGTTCAGGCTTTCTGCTTGTAAAGCCTGTTCTTTCTGAGAGTTAAGGTATTAACATAGTAAGACTTTAAAATTTACTATTTTTAAAAATAACAAAAGCGGTGCCTATTTATAAATAATTTAGATAGTTCAAAAAGTATATAAAAAAGTAAATCACACTAACTTGGCCATCCATAGATACAACTACAGCTGACGTGTGGGTATAGATTACCATACAGCTTTTTTTCTTTTTAGCAATATATATATATCTATTTAAATCACAAAGAACTGAATGTCCAGGATGTAATCCTATTTCCTAGCTAAGCTTTTTACACATAGCATGCCTCAGATATATGTAGAATAAATAAATGAGCACACACATGTAATAATGGGTCATTCTTGTTTGAAATCCTTTTTTTTTTTAGCTAAATATTTAAAATATATCCTAAGAAACCACATGCATAGTTTTATTTTAATTTTATTTTTCTCTCCAGTGTGTTGTAATTGGTCTGCAATCAACAGGCGAAGCTAGAACATTAGAAGCCTTGGAAGAGGGTGGAGGAGAATTAAATGATTTCGTTTCAACTGCCAAGTAATGTTTTTAGTTTTGAGGTTTTTTTTTTTAAAGATTTTGTTTATTTGAGAAAGAGCGAGAGAGAACATGAGAGGGGAGAACGTCAGAGGTAGAAGCAGACTCCCCGCGGAGCCAGGAGCCCGATGAGGGACTCGATCCCGGGACTCTGGGATCATGACCTGAGCCGAAAGCAGTGGCTTAACCCACTGAACCACTCAGGCGCCCTTTGAGTTTTTATTTAGATTAGTTTGAATGTTGGCATTTCCTGGAGGCAGAAGTTTTGATTCATCTGTATCATCATTAAAGTTTTTCTGATCTTAGTTTCCATTCTACGCTTGTTCATCACAATATATCCATTGGAAAACTGTAACACAGAAGTACTCGATTGTTAAGCATTTTGACGATACTGTGCCCAGTATTTAGACTAATGGAAGGGTGTGATTTTTGTCTTGTAGATCTCGGAAATCTGTGACAGCCTGGAATAGTTTGAGTTTTAGTTTCAGCTTTGCGTGTTTGAAATTACCATTATTCAGAGGAGCAATACGAGCAGTGGTTCTCTGTAGTTATCTGTAGTATTAAAATTGCAGACAGTCATGAGAATTTTAAAAAGATGATTTAGGCATTTTTTTTTTCAATTTCTTTGCCTACCCTGCCAATTTTAACTCTAATCGTAAAATTAGCAAAATACTCTTTGCCCTACTATACTATTTCTTGTGTTAGGAAATATATTCGAGTGGCTCCTTTTAAGATGGTTATAATTCAAAACTGCTTCCAAAAGCAAAACGTGCACCTCCTAATCTTTCTCTATACTTGTGTGCCTGTTACTGCATTGTTTAAAGTGATAGGAACTAGTCACATGTGCCTATCAATGGCAAGTCCAAAATTGAGATACGCTGTGAATATAAAATGACAAGACTTAAAAAAAAGTAATGTTTTACATCTCACTGATTGCATGTTGATTTGATACTAGTCTATGTCCTGAAATCTATTACTAAAAAAGTGTTTCGGGGTGCCTGGGTAGCTTACTCAGTTAAGTGTCTTCCTCCAGCTCAGGTCATGATCCCAGGGTCCTGAGATCGAGCGGTGCATCAGGTGCGCTCTGTCAAATAAATAAAATCCTTTAAAAAAATTTCTTTTTCTCCTGTTTTAACTTTTTTTTTTTTTTTTTTTTTTTTTTTTTAAGGAATTTAGAGAGAGACACAGTGAGAAAAGGAACATAATAAGCAGGATAATAAGCAGGGGGAGTGAAAGAGGGAGAAGTAAGCTTCCAGCCGAGCAGGGAGCCTTAGGCAGGGCTAGATCCCAAGACTCTGGGATCATGACCTGAGCCAAAGGCAGACACCTAATGACAAGCCACGCAGGCACCCATTTACTTCACTTTTTAATGTAACTACTGGAAAATGTAAAACTTGCATAATTGGCTCGGCTTGAACTACATTTCAATTCAACAGCCTTGGCCTAGAATATTAAATTATTTCAGCTGGATTATTAATATTTTATAGTATTAAAGTATATTTATTTTTAAGAAACATGTTTTGAAGTATATATATATATGTTTTAATTTTATTTATTTATTTGAGAGAGCGAGTGCAAGCACTCATGGGGAGAGGAACAGAGGGAGAGAACTTTAGGCTGACTCCCTGCTGAGCATGTAGGCTGGCAGGGGGCTTGATCCCACAACCCATGAGAACATGACCTGAGCCAAAACCAAGAGTTGGATGCTCAACTGTGCTACCGAGGCACCCCTTAAGACTTTACAGATAATAAATTATTTTGCAGACTGAACCTCTAATTACCACTTTTTCTCTCGTGTAAACAGAGGAGTGTTGCAGTCACTTATTGAAAAACACTTCCCAGCTCCAGACCGGAAGAAACTTTATAGTTTGCTAGGAATTGATTTGACAGCTCCAAGTAACAATAGTTCTCCAAGAGATAGTCCTTGTAAAGAAAATAAAGTAAAGAAGCGGAAAGGTGGGTTCTTTTCTTTAAATGATGTTGAAAATAGTATAAATGTGAGCATTTTGAGGAGCGATATTTGGGGTTTGAGCTGCCTTCCTTTTAAATTGGCACGTGGTTGCATACTTTCCCTGTTGCTTATGTGGTTTTAAATGCACAAGTGACAGTTTGGTGCTAGGCACTGTCTTCAGCACTGCCCTTCTGTTATTTCATTTAACCCATAAGGGATCCATATGAAAATAGATCTTATTTTTTTTTTTCTAGACAGAGGACAAAAAGGCACGACAAGATTAAAAGGTTAAGGAATCTCCCCAGGTTTACACAGCTAATGGGCAATCTATGGAAAACAAAATCTGGGCATTGCTGTTGTCAGAGCTCCGTATGCATTTATACATACTGTGTTTTTATAGTTTTTTTAAAGAGGCATTTGTAGTTATTGTTAGAAATATACTCAGTGCTTATTGGATGTTTTATCATAATGCCAACTTCGATTTCTGTTTAGATTCCTAGTAAACTGTTCGGCTTTCAGAAGTTAACTTCTCAGGCTGTCGTTAAGACGGTGATCATCTCTGTGGGAACAACTGTCTAATGCTGGGTGTATTCCAAACACAAGTGGCTGACAGTGTAACCTTAGTTCATCTGTTCTAAGAAGGACAGTTTTTTACATTTTTAACATGCTTGAAAGTGGATTGATGGTTATAATTGACAGTATATTTTAATTGTAGTGGCAAAAAAAGTAATGCTGTGTTTTAGAATTAGTGACATCTTAAAATGGTCACGTGGTCATGTTTATCTTTCCTGAATTATGTACTTTTTACCATCTCTCTCATTAATAAGTAAACTTTTAATGGTTTGTTCCAGATGTCTATGTCTTTTTCTTCTTTTTTTTTCTTTTTTTCTTTTTTTTAGATGAGGAAGAGAACACATGAGCATGAGTGGTAGGGAGGGTCAGGGAGGGTAGGGAGGTGGAGAGAGAGAGAGAATCTTAAGCTGGCTCCATACATGGAACCCAACTTAGGGCTGGATATCACCACCCTGAGATCATTGACCTAAGCCAAAACCCAAGAGTCGGACACTTAATCAACCGACTGAGCCACCCAGGCATCTCCCATATATCTTTCCTGAGTACTCAATAAAATAATTAAAATCAGCACCTAGTCTGACTTTTTACAAATGAAGTTTAATAGAGTTGTTTAATTATTAGGCCTCTGCTCTCAACCTGATTCACAATTAAACTGTGAAAATGCTGGAGATTCTGTGTTATCTCTGTTGTCCTAAATTTATTTTGAAACATGTACACTTAAAGGTAGTCTTGAATTTATATTTACGTGTCTAATTTTTTCTTAATAATTGAACATAACATGATTTCTTAAGGAAATCTAAAAGGTTAACATTTACTTACAAAATTTATATACTTAAAGTTTTTCCTGTATGTTTCTCACTTTAAAAGCTCGTGAACTATAAGTAGTTTCCTAGATCTTTAGAAGAGTGTGTTAGGGCTGACTGTCTTATTTTGGGTTTGAGGGTAGGTGAAGAAATAACTCGAGAAGCCAAGAAAGCGCGGAAAGTAGGTGGCCTTACTGGTAGTAGTTCCGATGATAGTGGAAGTGAATCTGACGCATCTGATCATGAAGAAAGTGACTATGAGAGCTCGAAAAACATGAGCTCCGGAGACGACGACGATTTCAACCCATTCAGAGATGAGTCTAGTGAGGATGATGAAGATGGTAAGTACGTCAGTACTTATTAAATGTTAATGAAAGGTTATTTATGTGTGTTTGAAACAGGATATTGTGTTAAAACCTGTTTTTTCAGGGCACCTTGGGTGGCTCAGTCGGTTAAGCATCTACCTTTGGTTCAGGTCATAATTTCAGGGTCCTGGGGTCAAGCCCCGCATCAGGCCCTGCTCCATGACGGGCCTGCTTCTCCCTCTCCCTCCGCTCGCCGCTCCTCTTATGCATACTCTCTTTCTCAAATAAATAAAATCTTTATTTATTTTTAAAGATTTATTTATGTATATATTTTACAGAGACAGCGAGAGAGGGAACATAAGCAAGGGAGAGTGAGAGAGGGAGAAGCTGGCTTCCTTCTGAGCAGGGAGCCCGATGCAGGGCTTGATCCCAGGATCCTGGGATCATGACCTGAGCCAAAGGCAGCCACTTAATGACAGCCACCCAGGTGCCCCATAAATAAGATTTTTTTAAAATAAATAAATAAATAAATAAAACCTGTTTTTTTTCCCCTGGTGCAGTACAAACCATTGCACAGAATCTAATCTTTGCTTAGTGGAGAACTCCCCAAGCTTGTCTGTCTTTTGGTAGTTCAGCTCATTTGTGTGAGATAGTGGCCTAAGTTTTATGCAGTGATTTTATTTATCTTTTTGAAGACTGTTTATTTGACAGAGAGGGATAGCGAGAGAGGGAACACAAGCAGGGGGAGCAGGGGAGAGCCCGATGTGGGGCTTAATCCCAGAGCAGAGAGCCCGATGTGGGGCTTGATCCCAGGATCCCAGGATCATGACCCGAGCTGAAGGCAGCCGCTTCAACGACTGAGCCAACCAGGCGCCCCTATTATTATTAACAGTAGTAGTAGTGGTGGTAGTGGTGGTGGTAGTAGTAGTAGTAGTAGATTTTTATTTATCCAGAGATGAGAGAGACAGAGAGAGAGAGAGAGTTGGAGGAGCGGAGGGAGAGGTACAAGCAGACTCTGCACCTGGTGCGGAGCCCGATGTGGGGCTCGATCTTACCACCCTGATAGCGCAACCTGAGCCGAAACCAAGAGTTGGACACTCAACCGACTCAGTCGCCCAGCCACCCAGTCACTTGTACAGTGATTTTTAACCTCATACTATGGAATTTTATCTGCCAGTGTATTGGATATACTGGATAGCTGAAGTTGGTGATGATTTTTAAGTTACCAGTTAATACAAAAAATTCAAGGGTGGTTTCCTTTGAAGATTCTGCTGCTTTTACAGATGATTTGACACATATCTTTCCTTAACTTTCAGATCCCTGGTTAATCAGAAAAGATCACAAGAAAAACAAAGATAAAAAAAAAAAGAAAAGTATAGATCCAGATTCTATTCAAAGTGCCTTATTAGCATCAGGTCTTGGATCAAAACGACCTAGTTTTTCATCTACACCAGTAATTTTGCCTGCTCCTAACAGTGCACCAGGTATCTGTGGGGAAGCTTGGTTTGTCTGTTGAGATGTACTTTTAAACAAAACATACGTAAACTTTGTAATGATTTTTATTAACAATTGTACTTTATCTAGCTAACAGTAACACCAACAGTAACAGTAGCCTTATAACAAGTCAGGACGCTGTGGAAAGGGCCCAGCAGATGAAGAAAGACCTACTTGATAAACTAGAGAAATTAGCAGAAGACCTCCCTCCTAATACCCTGGATGAACTTATTGATGAACTTGGTGGACCTGAGAATGTTGCTGAGGTAAATATGACCAGATTAGGGCTGTCTTGGTCCCTTTTTTTGGTCAACTCCAAACCCTATTGAATGAGTGATATTTTGGATATCATCACATAATTGTGTAATTTTCTCTTAGATTTTAGAACCTTTGATCAGTTTGTCATCCCAGAGTCAGGGATTCTTACCCTTAGTATCTGTGTGTTTATTCAGCACACTGATCTCTTACCGTCCCTGTCATGCAGCCTCTGCGGTTGTTGCCGCGCATCTGCTTTCTTTGCTGGAACTTCAGCTTTTCAAAACCAGAACCTGTTGCAACATTCTCTCCCGGATACTGCCTAGTGCAGCACAGGTGGCACTGTGTGTCGGCTTCATCATCCCCTTCTCTCTCCCACCAAGTTTCTCTAATGCAGGGGTCCTGTGCTTCCTGTATCTTCATCAGGTACCTTAACTGTAAGTGACACTGTTTGGCTTTGCAGATGACTGGTCGCAAAGGGCGGGTCGTAAGCAATGATGACGGAAGCATATCTTACGAGTCGAGATCTGAACTTGATGTCCCTGTAGAAATACTAAATATCACAGAAAAACAAAGATTTATGGATGGAGACAAGGTATGTTTTTCTGGAATGCTTTTCTTTCTTTCTTGTATTTTAAAAAGATTTTACTTACTTATTTGAAAGAAAGAGCACAGAGAGGGGAGGGTCAGAGGGAGAAGCAGACTCCGCACTGAGCAGGATGATATAGGACTTGATCCTGGGACTCCAGGATCTTGACCTGAGCCAAAAGCAGTCGCTCAACCTCTGAGCCACCCAGGCACCCTCTGGGATGCTTTTTAATGAAAAATACAATATCTGTATATTTAAGTGAATATTTAGGGGTTTTTTTCTTTTAAAAGAAATTAAGTGTGGGGGCGCCTGGGTGGCTCAGTCATTAAGCATTTGCCTTTAGCTCAGGTCATGATCCCAGGGTGCTGGAATCGAGCCCTGCATCAGGCTCCCTGCCTGGGGGAAAGTCTCCTTCTCCCTCTGCCATTCTCCCTGCTTGTGTTCCCTCCCTCGCTCTCTCTCTCTTTGTCAGATAAATAAATAAAATTTTAAAAAAGAAGAAGAAATTAAGTGTGTTGAATGTTATTATTCTTTCATTTTTAGTAATTGCACATAATCACTGAATATTTATACATTTTCATTATTTTTTCACAAATTGAATGCAATAAAGTATTGTGTACAGAATTAGATGTGGCTCTTAATAAATTTGGAGGTTTTTTAATTTAAAAAATTTTTTTTAAACATTTTATTTATTTGACAGACAGAGATCACAAGTAGGCAGAGAGTCAGGCAGAGAGAGAGAGATGGGGGGAAGCAGGCTTACTGCTGAGCAGAGAGCCCAATGCAGGGCTTGATCCCAGGACCCTGGGATCATGACCTGAGCCAAAAGCAGAGGCTTTAACCCACTAACCCACCCAGGTGCCCCTAAAAAAAGTTTTTTTAAGATTTTATTTACCCATTTGATAGCATAAGCAAGGAGAGTAGCTGGCAGAGGGAGAAGGAGAGCTGAGCAAGGAGCCCAATGCGGGGCTCGATCCCAGGACACTAGGATCATGACCCGAGCCAAAGGCAGACGCTTAACTGACTGAGCCACCCAGGCACGCTATAATTTTTTTTTTTTTTTTTAAAGATTTTATTTATTTGTCAGAGAGAGCACAAGCAGGGAATGAGACAGAGGGAGAGGCAGGCTGTCTGCTGAGCAAGGAGCCCGATGTTGGAACTTGATCCCAGGACCGTGGGATCATGACCTGCGCCAAAGGCAGAAGCTTAACCATTGAGCCACCCAGGTGTCCCGGCTTTTTAAATTTTTAGTCAGAATATTAAAATACTGTATTTTCCTAGGTCATTTTAGTGGCATAACATCTAATGCAACTCTCCAATGTCAGTCTGATTTTGACTCTAGAAATACATTTAAGCATACTCAGATTACTAGTGTCCTTTGATTTTGCTGATTTTCTTATTGCTGTGACATGTCCTACTACAGTGTTCATTCTGAATGACGTGTAGATTGTCTTGCGTACCTCGCCACTCTAGACACCTCGGTTGCCACCAGAGGTTCTTTGTTTACTGAATCAGTAAACATCAGTCAATTTTGAGATTCTTAGGCTAGTTCTTCCCCATCATCTACTTGAAATTTCCATAAGCGGTTGCTGATGAGATAGCTAAAAAATAGGTAGGAATACCACTTAAACTTAATTCCTTAATTTATTTTTTTTTAAGGTTTTATTTACTTATTTGACAGAGATCACAAGTAGGCAGAGAGGCAGGCAGAGAGAGAGGAGGAAGCAGGCTCCCCGCTGAGCAGAGAGCCCGATGCGGGGTTCGATCCCAGGACTCTGGGATCATGACCTGAGCTGAAGGCAGAGGCCCTAACCCACTGAGCCACCCAGGTGCCCCCTTAATTCCTTAATTTAAATGGTAGAATAAAATCTCTATTTTACCACTTTCTTCTTTATATTTTAATGAGGCTTTCTGCAGCTAAAAAAGGAGAAGATAGTTGTTACTATCAAAGTTGTCTTTATTCTTTCTTTAAAGATTTTTGTTTATTTGAGAGGGAGACAGAGCATGAGCAAGGGGGAGGGGGAGAAGGAGAAGGACAAACAGACTCCCCACTGAGCATGGGGTCAGGTTTGGGGCTCAATCTCAGGACCCTGAGATCATGACCTGATCCATAGATGCTTAACCAACTGAGTCACATAGATTCCCCCAAAGTTATCTTTTATAAATATATTCAATAGCTTGTGTTACATTTTTTTTTTAATTGATTTACTTTAGGGAATTAGAGTGCGTGCACGAGAACTGGAGGGAGGGGAAAGGGGGATAGAATCTCCGCTGAGCATGGAGCCCAGCACTGGGCTTGCTCTCATGACCAGGAGATCATGACCTGAATCGAAATCAAGAGTTTGGATACTTAACTGACTAAGCCACCTAGGCTTTCGTCATGTTACACATTCTAAAGATTGTAGGTAGAGGTATTAATCGGTTGTGTTACATACTTTGTTTTATGAATTTATGCCCATGTGCATTACACTTATATTAGTTGGAATTAGTTTTAGTTGTTAAGTGACAGAAAATCCAAAATCGTATTGACTTAAAGAAGGTAGAAGGTAATTTCTTCCATGTGTTAAGTTCGAGTAGGTGGACCAGGGCTGTTATGGCTCCTTAAAGATAATGCCGCTCCTGTCTTAGTCCTTTAACGTGTGAGGCTCCATTTTCAGGTTACCTCTTTCACTTCCAGTCATTATACCTCTGTCTTTCATCTGGCAGAGAGGACGCGAATGAAGAGAAGGGCATGTCCTTGACTTTCAAGGACATTTCTTAAATGTTCATACCATCTACACCCTACTGGGGTGTGCCTACAATTAGCTGCAGGGGAAAGTGAGAAATGTCATGATTCTGGGCAGCCATGTACCTGCCTAAACTTGAGAGGAGATGGTTATAATTTAGGAAAAAGGGGAGAATAGGTATTGGTGAGCCACTAGTACTCTAAGAACTTTATTTAGGGCACTTGCCTACATGCAAAGGTGATTATTTTTCCCCCTTATATTTGGTACAGAATATTGCTATTATCTCAGAAGCTGCCAGCTCGGGTATTTCGTTACAAGCAGATCGGAGAGCTAAAAATCAAAGGCGAAGAGTTCATATGACTTTGGAATTACCCTGGAGTGCTGATAGAGCAATTCAGCAATTTGGTAAGTTCCTACAAGTGAATTTCACTTAATAGATAGCTAGGAATCATTGGGGAAATGTTTACATATCAAAACCTATATTTAACTTCAGTATCTTAAAACAGGACACGTGGATTTTGGAGCTGTTTGTGTATTACATTTGAAATTATAGAATACATGAAGCCGTTTCTTATCTATTTTAAGAAATGTAAAAGATCTGTGCTAGATTTCTTGGAGTTTCTGGCATTATATCTCATAACAGTGTTCCTCAGGAGTTTCCTCCATTATCGATCTTCAGGATATATGTGGTCAGAGCACCTGCCACCTCATGTTCTTTTTAGCCTTTGGTGGCTTTACTGAAGGCATATTCCTCTTCCCTTGTCTTACATGTTTATGTCCTGATGTGACCTGATGATTTAAAAAAACCAACAGTTTAGGGGCTCCTGGACAGCTCCGTTGGTTCAGTGTCCGACCCTTGATTTTGGCTCCGGTCTTGATCTCTAGCTCATGGGATTGAGCCCTGCATCAGGCTCTGTGCTCAGCGGGGTGTCTAGTTGAGAGTCTCTTTTCCTCTGCCTGCCCTCCCCAACCATGTGTGAATTCTCTGTCTCTCTAAAATAAAATCTTTTTAACAAACCATTTTTTGTTTTTTGGGCTTTTTAGTTTTTTGGTTTTTTGGAAGAATCCAGAGCAGCTGTGCTTCAGCACCATTGTGATTAACCCAAGTGGGGCAGAAGTAATAATATGTTTATCATTGAACAGTTCTGTGGCAGTTTGTGTTCTTTAAGGAGGAGTATTTTGAATATGGATGTTTTTCAAGTCAGTTTTTTAATTTTATACCTTTGGGAGAGTTACAAGAAATTGTTTTGTACATTGTGTGTGTGTGTGTGTGTGTGTGTATTTTTTTTTTTTTTTTTTTAAGATTTTACTTACTTATTTGATAGTGAGCATCAGCAGGGAGGAGGGGGAGAGGGAGAAGCCGGCTGCCCCGGAGCAGGGAGCCCAATGCAGGACTCGATCCCAGGACCCTGGGAACATGACCTGAGCCGAAGGCAGACCCATAACCAACTGAGCCACCCAGGTGTCCATATATTCTTTAATATTTTCCTGAATACCAGCTTAGTATTAAAATGCTAGGAATAGATCTCAGAATACTCTGTATCTAGTGAACACAGTATTTTTAATGTCGTTACAGGACGAACTCATAGATCAAACCAAGTTACTGCTCCCGAGTATGTGTTTCTGATTTCTGAATTGGCAGGGGAACAAAGATTTGCTTCTATTGTTGCCAAAAGACTTGAGAGCTTGGTAAGTTCTTGGGTTGTGTAGTTGTGTGTAAAAGATGGTGAATACAACCTGTCTTCTGTGCCTTGATTGGAAATTTTATGTCTTGATAGGGAGCACTTACACATGGTGACAGAAGAGCAACAGAATCTAGAGATCTGAGCAGATTCAATTTTGATAATAAGGTACATTTCAGCTTTCATTATGTCTGAGATTTTGTGGTAGTGTGTGGTGTCTGTGGTGAACAAAAAGGGAAAGTGGTTACTGTTTAAAACGTAAAACTGTCCCTTATGGTTTTACTGTAAAATGATAACGTCCTATAAAATTTTTACTTATCAGATCTTTGATGATCAGCTCTGCAGTAGAATCCTGTTTTCATTTCTGTTAGAAAATAGGAATATAATAAATACTTCTGAATGAGTCAAGTATGAATTTCCAGAAACGAAGTTATTTACTGGACGTCTGTCATGTGCATAGGTGTGAACAATTTAGTATATAACATTTATATAAAAAGATAATTGAGTCCTACTCGTTTTGAACCTTTGCTACCATAATACTTTTTATCGTGTTCAGTTGGTCATGTGATTGAAATGTATCCAAATGCTGTAACTGGTTAAATTTGTTTGTTTTCTTATTGCAGTATGGAAGAAATGCTTTAGAAATTGTCATGAAATCCATTGTCAACCTAGATTCTCCTATGGTATCACCACCTCCAGACTACCCTGGAGAATTCTTTAAAGGTAACTTTAAAAAATAATCACAAGAGGAAAATGAGTACTAAGTAGGCCCTAAAACCTTTTCTGACATGTGCTGCTGTTTTCAATCTCTTTGGACATAAATTATATAAAAATTTAGAAATTAAAGATTAATAGACACCTAAGTTGGCTTCTTATAATCAGATTCTTAACTTTCATTCACACCAAGTATTTTGTGCTCTTGACAGTTCATTGCATGTTAATACTAGATTAGTAGAAGAAAGTGGTTTTATTTATTTATTTGTTTATTATTTTTTATTTTTTTTTAATTATTTGACAGAGAATACAAGTAGAGAGGCAGGCAGAGAGAGGAAGGAAAGCAGGTTCCCCGCTAAGCAGAGAGCCCGATGCGGGGCTCGATCCCAGGACCCCGGGATCACGACCCAAGCCGAAAGCAGAGGTTTCAACCCACTGAGCCACCCAGGCGCCCCGAAAGTGGTTTAATTTAAAGCTGCTATGCCAGACAGCTTTTAAATTTAATTTTTCAAGTATGTTGGTAAATAATCTTTGGAGGTTGGCACAGGGTGTAGATTAAAAAATATTGGCTGTGTATTCATAGTTAAAACTGTGATGGATACGTGTATATGGATCATAGAATGTTCTCTTTACACTTACATGTTTTTGGACATTTATGTATTAAGGAAAAGTCCAGCATAATGCTATAGAAACTCTTTGATGTATCTCTGTAATTGGTAGAATGTATTTTGCCCATAAATATAAGTAGTCTAGATGGTTTTGATTTTTGATTATATATTTTATAGTTCAGGAAGCTATGAAAATATTTTGGAAAATATGTAGATGTAGGATATTTGAAATATCATCATTGTAGAGTTAGGACTTTTCACTAGAAAGTCCTTCCCAATTGGAAACCAGTATTTAGTATTGATACAAGCCATATTGACATACTGTCAAGGAGGTTTATCACTGATGGCTTAGTAACAAAGCAGATAAACAATAGACTTTTTTTTCCTTTTTCTTCCATTCTCTTTCCTCTTCTTCCCATAACTTTGGGATTGTGACCTGAGCTGAAGGCAGAGGTTAACCCACTGAGCCACCCAGGCGCCCAGATTTTTTTTAACAGTTGCATAATATTCTGCAGCTGGCTTATACAACAGGTTTCTTTGTGTGTGGTTTTTGTTTTTTTTTTTAAATCATTCCCTTATTGGTATTCAAGTGGTTTTCAATTTTTTGCACCATCACAAACAGTGCTGAAGTTATACAGCTATCCTATATAGATTTTCTCCCATAAGACTGGTTTCTAAAAGGAGGATTTTTGGTTACACAGTTGTCACCTGCAGAATCTAAACAGTTTTATGCATGTAGCAGAGTACTAGCTGATTTATTAAATGTGTAAATAGGATATGATAATGCTTCCTATTGACCCTGTTCTTTTAACGCCCTTATTCTGTAAGTCTGGGTTGGATCCTGAACATCAGTATTAAAGAAACCCATAGACTGTCTTCTTAGTGACATAATTCAGAACATGTTAACTGTTACACATACTGCTTATCTTCTGCAGCAGCTTGTCAGTGCTGATAATATGTGGGAGGAAGACAAGATTAATAGCTTATTTACACAATTATTTAATCAGTTAGTCTGTGTGTTCAAAATTGTTTATATTCTGTAGATGACAAGTGTATAACCGAAGATTTCTACAGCCAAAGACTGCTATTAGAAAGATGAGATCTTTTGGGGGGCGCCTGGGTGGCTCAGTCATTAAGCGTCTGCCTTCAGCTCGGGTCATGATCCCAGGGTCCTGGGATTAAGCCCAACATCAGGCCTCCTGCTCAGCGGGAAGCCTGCTTCTCCCTCTCCACTCCCCCTGCTTGTGTTCCCTCTCTGGCTGGCTGTCTCTGTCAAATACATAAATAAAATCTTTAAAAAAGAGAGAGAGAGATGAGATCTTTTAATGAGCTCATTCATAGTGTGAAGTTTGAGTACTGTAGGATTTTGGAGTGCCTAAAAGACCTTTGGGGACTGTGTGTTCCATTTAATTCAGCTAATAGGAACTATGAAAAATGCCTTAGGCATTTGTTTTAAGGCTAGAACTTGTGGTCTGTGTTTTAAGGCTAGAACTTGTGGTCTAGTTCGGGGCACCTGAGCGGCTCAGTCCGTTAAGCATCTGAAAAAAGAACTTGATCTAGTTTGATTAGTCGAGTAACAGATCATTGAGTCACTTGGGTTATAAGGTTTTTTAATTTTCTGACAGATGTTCGACAAGGACTAATAGGAGTTGGCCTGATAAATGTAGAAGATCGTTCGGGTATTCTTACTCTAGATAAAGGTAAGAGTATGAGTTTTGTATATGGACATGAAACAACTATTGCTCCATCATTACAGACCATTTTCTTTATGCCTTTTTCAACTTGAAGGGGAAGCTTCAAGTTTGTAGTTCTCAGTCCCTCCTTCTGGAGTGCTCATAAAGCACTCTCAGTGGTTTTTGCTACTGTGGTTGTTCAAAGGAGATTAAACCTTTATTCTGTCTACAGAGTAGCAGTTCTCAACCCAGGTTGCATATATATCAGCTGTGAAGCTTTTAAAAATTACTGAAGACCGTGCTGTTGAGCTTCACAGACTTAACAGCACTTAGAACTTTCTACAAGCCAGGATTTCATGTTGGAGAACGAACATTCTCATGTGCTAAATTGTGTTCATATTTTCAGTAAGTGAAGTTTGATGATGCACAAATTGAGTAAGACAACCATCTTTGGAGCATGTATGTGGTCGTGCTGATTGCTAGAGGTAGAAATGGTCAAATTATAGCTCTCTTCTGAGAGCCGTGCAAGGTTGTGGGTGTGAGGTAAGACCATGGAGGAGAAAGTGAGACTTGGTCTAGGCTTAGATGAATAAATGTTTTGTTCTGTTTTTATTTTACTTCCAGGGGCAAGTGCATTATAATTGCCATTCAAATGCATCAAATCTTTCATACAATCTTGTCCTTGCAGATTATAACAACATAGGAAAATTCTTAAATAGAATTTTGGGCATGGAAGTGCATCAGCAGAATGCGTTATTTCAGTATTTTGCAGACACACTTACAGCAGTTGTTCAAAATGCCAAAAAAAATGGAAGATATGATATGGGAATTTTAGGTAAGTAGAGAAATTTTGAAAATGTCCTGTGTATTCCTAATAAAATGTTCTTTTTCCATTTACGTGTTGCTTTTTCTTGTTTAAGATCTTGGTTCTGGAGATGAAAAAGTGAGGAAAAGTGATGTTAAGAAGTTTCTGACTCCGGGATATTCCACCTCTGGTCATGTAGAGTTATATACTGTAAGTTTGGAAACGTGCATCTTTAAGTGTAACCTCCTGTGATTGGCACTCACAGAAGTGAGTGTGATTTAAGTTGTATTATTTCTTTTACAGATTAGTGTGGAGAGGGGAATGTCTTGGGAGGAAGCTACCAAGATTTGGGCTGAGCTGACAGGACCAGATGATGGCTTTTACTTGTCATTGCAAGTAAGACTCATGTCCTTGCCATGTTAACTGTTCAGATATGTAATGCGTTGTAGTTGCCAGCACTGCAGTTATCTATCCCCTTTGTGGCGGCTTTCTGATTGTTTTTCGCTTTTCTCTGTTTTGATCATTTTTCATTGTAACTGAGTTTGTCCTTCTACAGACATTTAGAATTATTACATATTCTTAGTTAATTGGACCTTTTTATTTCATGGTGCAGTGACCTCTAAGCCTCCATAAAGGACTGCATATTTAGTTCTGTAGACCTCTAGTAAGCTTTATATCTGAAAGATTCACTTCTTAGATATTAGTGTAAATAATTCCTTAGGATTTGAGGGTAGAGCTCAGGATGAGGGAAATGTAAATACATATGTGTGTACATACCCATACATTTATATGTAGACACACGCACACCCACAGATACATGCGTGCGGATATATAATCATCCAGAGTCAGGGTACGGTATCTTGAATTTTCCTGTTGAAGACTATGGAGTTTTTATGTCATTATTTTCTGATATTAATCTGTGTGCTTATTTCTTCTACAGTAATAATCTTTATTCTCCATGGCACACGGGATGATAAAAGATTATGGATAATATACCCCAATATTCCTGAAAATAATTTCGGGAAAAAAGCATCAGCTTTTTTTGCTTTTGCTTCCCCCCATTCTCCCATTCCATTAAAACACAGTTGTGCTGTTTCTGCATTGTCAGCATATGGCACTTCTGTAGTATGCTTTTCTTTTAATACTTACTCTTAGCTCTAAAGGTAATTAATTTAAATTTAATGCTCACCTCTCACTAGTCCTTAGATTGCTGTCTCTGATCATTTTATCTGAAGACTGTCCTGTAGTAGCATCCTCAAGAAGGGTTTATTGGGAGTGTTACTTCCTCAGGTGGTTTGTTTTTAGGTTTCTCTGTCTGAGAGAGACACAGAGCACGCATGCGTGTGCCTGCCTGCGCCCGAGCAGGTGGAGAGAGAGAATCTCAAGCAGATTCCATGCTGAGCAGGGAGGCTGATAACGGGGCCAGATCCCAGGACCCTGAGATCATGACTTGAGCTAAAGGCAGAGGCTTAACTGGCTAAGCCGCCCAGGTGCCCCAGTGCTTCGTTTTTGTGACTAAATAATGTTCCGTTGTATGTATGTACCACATTTTGTTTTTTATTTGCCAAATTTTTGGAGAGACCAGCTGTAAATGAGGACCAGGTTCTAGATGGGACTGCGTGAAAGAGACTATGTATGGTCATGCCAGAGGCAGTGTGAGCCCATAGTTAAGCTATCTAGAGCAGCTGTCCCCAAACTTCTTTAGGATCGGATAGTAAATACTTTAGGTTTTGTAGGCTACGTGAAGTTTCTAAACTATTCTTTTTTATTGTTTTTTTTTGTTTTTTCTTCCTTTTCCCTACCCTTCCTTCCTTGGTTTCTCCCTTCCTTCCACTGTTTGAAGCTTATTAGCCTCAGGCCCAGTTTGGTCACAGACCTGATTTTACTGGTACCTGATCCAAGAGCAAAGCTGTCAAACTGAATCTGGCTCCTAATTAAGTGGTTTTTGGAAATCTTTTTTTTTTTTTTTTAAAGACTTTATTTATTTATTTGACAGATAGAGATCAGAAGTAGGCAGAGAGAGAGAGGAGGAGGCAGGTTCCCTGCTGAGCAGAGAGCCCGATGTGGGGCTCGATCCCAGGACACTGGGACCATGACCTGAGCCGAAGGCAGAGGCTTTAACCCACTGAGCCACCCAGGCGCCCCGGTTTTTGGAAATCTTATTGAGGGCGCCTGCGTGGCTCTGTAGCTTGAGTGTCTCACTCTTGATTTCAGCTCAGGTGATGACCACAGGGTCGTGAGATGGAGTCCCACCGGGCTTTGTGCTCAGTGCAGAGTCTGGTTGAGATTCTCTCCCTCTCTCTCCCTTTGGCCCTCCCCCAGCTCCTGTGCGCTCCTGTGCATGCACTCTCTCTCTAAAATAAGTAAATAACATCTTTTGAAAAAAAGAAAATCTTACTGAGATATTTGTAGATTCACATGAGGTTTTGAGAAGTGATACAGAGAACTTCCTTGTACACCAGTTTCACCAATGGTAACATTTTACAAAACTATAACATGGTATCAAAACCAGCATTGTATCACTATTACATAATTCACCACATTTTATTCAGATTTCTCCCTTAGATGGGATTTTGATAGGTACAGATTAGGGTCTTGGTTTTTGGCTTTTCATTCCAAACTGTTGCCAGAATTTACACACTGGTAGATTTTGAGGTAGTGCTGATCCAAAACTTCCTTTGAGTGGAAGGGTGTGGTGATACTGGTCCTTTGTTACTTCCTGCATGGCAGCAGGTGATTGGATGTGAGGAGAGGCAGACTTAGAAGGGGCATCAATCCAGGAAGGTGCAGGTGTTTGAAACTCCACAAAAGTAAGCAGACATGCGGGACGTCTGGGTGGCTCAGTGGGTTAAGCCTCTGCCTTTGGTCCAGGTCATGCTCTCAGGGTCCTGGGATGGAGCCCCACATCGAGCTTGCTCAGCAGAAAGCTTGCTTCCCCCTCTCTCTCTTCCTGCCTCTGTGCCTACTTGTGATCTCTCTCTCTCTGTCAAATAAATAAAATATTTTTAAAAAATAAGCAGACATGCTTTACAATGTTTACCATGTGTTAACATTAGGAAAACCGAGTAGGAATTACTTTTATTTCCACGGTAGTGTGAGGATTTATTTTGTGTTACAATGAAATAATTTGACACTGTAGAGAAAGATCGAACTTTTATATGCTTTAAACACGGTCCTCTAAGTATAATAATTTTATTGTTCCTTTTTTTTTTTTTTAAGATTTTATTTATTTATTTGACAGAGATCACAAGTAGGCAGAGAGGCAGGCAGAGAGAGAGGAGGAAGCAGGCACCCTGCCAAGCAGAGAGCCCAATGTGGGGCTCGATCCCAGGACCCTGGGATCATGACCCAAGCCGAAGGCAGAGGCTTTAAAACACTGAGCCACCCAGGCGCCCCCCCCCCCTTTTTTTAAAATTTATGTATTTATTTGACAGAGAGATCACAAGCAGGCAGAGAGGCAGGCAGAGAGAGAGGAGGAAGCAGGCTCCCTGCTGAGCAGAGAGCCCAATGCGGGGCTTGATCCCAGGACTCTGGGATCATAACCCGAGCCGAAGGCAGAGGCTTTAACCCACTGAGCCACCCAGGCGCCCCTTTATTGAGTGTTTCACATCAACTGATAAAACATGTAAAATGTAATTTTTACCCTAAGCATTGTTTTATAGACTTTGTAGTAATTATATAATATTTCAACTCATTTGAACAAGTAAACAGTAAAGGATCTTTAATATCCATGAAGAGAAAAGTAAAATACTGTTTATTTCTTTTATCGGTGTAAGAATTATCTTTTTTTTTTTTTTAAGATATTTATTTATTTATTTATTTATTTGACAGAAAGCAGGACAGGGAGCACAAGCAGGGGGAGTGGGAGAATCAGGCTTCCCAATGAGCAGGGAGCCCAATGTGTGGCTCGATCACAGGACCCTGAGATCATGACCTGAGGTGCAGGCAGACACTTAGTGACTGAGCCACCCAGGCATCCCAAGAATTATCCTAATATAAAAAACAGCTCAGTGAGCAATTTGTTTTGTAGAAGAGCTGGCAAAGTATCTTTACTTTAAAACTTTTCTTTTTCCTTCAGTTTTGCTCCAGAGATTATTGCTTGGAAATTGTTCGCCATTCTTAGAGGAGATACGGATTTTCTAATGCTAATTTTCCTTTAATTTAATGGGCCTTTTAATAACTCCTTCCTCTTAGCATTTCTGCCATAAGTCCAACTCTTTTAAAAAATTAAAAATATATGTAAGTTCCATCATTTGTCTGATGCATCCATTTCTTCCACTTCTACATAAGTATTTATGTATTATTTGCTCAACATTTTGGCTTTTTCCTGTCATAGCTTTACTGTTTACAAATCATGTGACCTCTCAATTCACTCTTAATGGCAGCGATGGGGAGAAACAGCCGCGTTGGGTTAGTAGATGAGTGCAGGGAACCATGGGTGATCAAAATCATCTTGGAGGTTATGTTTCATTGTAACTTCAAGGTGAGGAACTTTTTTTTTTTTTTTAAAGATTTTATTTATTCATTTGACAGAGATCACAAGTAGGCAGAGAAGCAGGCAGAGAGAGAGGAGGAAGCAGGCTCCCTGCTGAGCAGAGAGCCCAATGCGGGGCTCGTTCCCAGGACCCTGGGATCATGACCTGAGCCGAAAGCAGAGGCTCAACCCACTGAGCCACCCAGGCGCCCCTATTTTTTTTTTTTAAGATATTTATTTATTTATTTGAGCGAGAAAGGGCACAAGCAGAGAAAGCGGCAGGTAGAGGGAGAGGCAGGCTCCCCAGCTAGCAGAGACTTGGTCCCAGGACCCTAGAATCCCGACCTGAGCTGAAGGCAGATGCTTAACCAACTGAGCCACCCAGGCATCCCGAGAGATACATTTTTTAACAATGTTTTACTATGAAAAATTTTAAACATAGACTTAGAAGTAAAAGGATTTTCCTCCAAAGACTCTTTCCCACTACCTAGACTCCCCCCTCATGGATGTCTAAGGCAAGAACATGGACTAGAACAAGCACAGTTACCTCCACTGGACACTAGTGCTTAAAGCTTTATTCAAAACAATCTTCTAAGGAGTATCTTGGCCCTCAACGTATGTGTTCAGCATACCCCACATTTAGGACCCAGGAACGTTTATTTGGGTGGGGCCTCGTGAAATTCAGGTAGATGAGCAGCTGCCATCCTTGTCCAGTTACCTTTTCCGTGTGCTAACTCAGCTTTAGTCTTTCAGAGGATTAATTTGCTAATGTGATGGTGCAAACAAGCTTATCTTCAAGTGTGCAGCACGAATCCTTACACTTTCTCGCTTTTTTTTTAATAGATAAGGAACAACAAGAAAACTGCCATCTTAGTTAAAGAAGTGAACCCTAAAAAGAAGCTTTTCTTAGTTTATAGACCAAATACTGGGAAACAGCTCAAATTAGAAATTTATGCTGACCTAAAAAAGAAATATAAGAAGGTATTTTTTCATTTGTACACCTTATACTATTTATGAGTACTTGTTTTATAACATGTTGAAACTGTTCAGGAGAGCTATATGTCTATATTTAAGGTGGTTTTGTCAATTTTTCCTATTTGATTACTGGAAAGTTGTTTTCAGAAAACATGTTGTCAAGTGTTGCTGCATTAACATCCCAGTCTTAATGTTATCAACCATTAAGAAAATTGTAAAATGATTATTTGAAACAGCTTGTGTTGTCAAAAAAGGAAACTTCCAGTGCTAACTACAGAAATTAGAACCGCCATATTTATATTTTGCAGTGATTTGTAGAAAAACAGTGAATGACAACGTTTTTTTCCTAACATTACTGTTAATTTTTAGTATTACCTTATATTACTGTTTTTCCTGGCCAGTTTCATTTGTAAACAATTGTGATTAAACCAGCTGTTTGAAACATTTATTACATAGGAAGTCCCTAATGGCAGGACTTCATGCAAATGCAGCCAGTAGCAAGGGCCAGATTGTCCATACCGAGATGTGTGTAAGTTGGCTTAAGAGACTATAAGAAGGCGACCAGGTTGTTTAAAACAATACTGTTTCAATGGAATTTTCGTCTTATTTTCACAGGTAGTCTCAGATGATGCCCTGATCCACTGGTTAGATCAGTATAATTCATCTGCAGATACTTGTACTCATGCCTATTGGTTAGTATTTGCATGTTGCTCACCGTATTATCCAAAATGTAATCAAGATTTAATTTAAAAATACCTTCACTCTCTAGCTGTCTAAGTCCACAAAGAGATGATGGTCAGGTGTCATTCCTTCTATCAGAGATACTTGTCTGTCTGTGGACCACGCATACTGGGTGTCCCCTCTGCTCTTCACTAACGCTTGTAACTTCTGACCAAGTGTCGTCGGGCCATACGGACTTGACTGCCATTCTTCTTGCTGAGACTTACTTTTTTTCCCTCCTTCTCTTCTTCCTTCCCTTCCTTCCCCCCCCCCTTTTTAAAAAAAGCTTTACTGGTGTCCCAGATCAGTTTCATTTTTAATGCTAGGAAACTTGTAGGAAACTAAGAGTTGCTGACAGCACCAGAAAATGTGTTGTCGAGCCTGGGAACTGACCCTGCTGTGCCTCTAGGTTGGCTCGAGGGCTGTTCTTTCAAGTCACAATGTCATAAATGCCTCTTACAATAGTCATTTCAGGGCCTTGTATGGGATGTTTTAATACATTGCAGATCATAGGTCTCGCTGGTTTTTAACCCATTTAACAGTCAGTAGGGTGTCCAGCCCACTTTATGAAAAGGAATATAGGATGTAGATGAAATTTAGCTAGGTGTTTTTTAGACACATGTAGGTAGGTAAATTTGAAAGGAGCAGTGTTTCGTTTTCATTTTGAGAGCAAATTAGTGCTTTTGGAAATTAAAAAACGTTTTCAAGATAAAATATTTTTAAAGTTAACTTACAGAAGTTCTCTCTAAAACATTTGCTTTGAGTACTAGCAAGAAAGGTGCCCGATATTGTGTGTTTTCTTGAATTATTATTTGAAAGATGATTTTATTGATGAATTGTCTAAATAATTTTAACCATAAACCATGTCTTCCTTTTTTACAGTATTTAAAAATTTTTATTACTTTGGTTTGCTGAGGCCTTTCCCAGTTCAAGATTTAGAATATATTGGTTTAATAATTTTTAGAGGTAACACAGAATTATTTGATAAGCTAACATTCATATAGTAAACTGATGGATGTTAAAATGACAGACCTTTTAAATGGATATTGAAACCAGTAAGTTAACTCCCTAACAGGGAGTCAGGCCCCAGAAATTTTATTTTCTAAAATAAATCTTAGAAACTTAAAAAATTGGCAGTAATACCTTAAATTGGAAAGGATGATCCAGTATGTTAAAGGATGTAATCTAAGAAACTGTCAGTAAAGAAGGGCAAATTGTGCCAGGACATTGTCCAGTTGAAACCTAGGTAGACTTTGTGAGACGTGTGTGTGTGTGTGTGTGTGTGTGTGTATGTATACATATATATTTTCCCCCCCATCTATCCTAGGCGTGGCAACTGCAAAAAAGCCAGCTTGGGATTAGTTTGTGAAATAGGTCTTCGCTGCCGCACGTATTATGTATTATGTGGCTCCGTTCTGAGTGTCTGGACAAAAGTTGAGGGTGTTCTAGCGTCTGTCAGTGGCACAAATGTGAAGATGCAGATAGTTCGGCTAAGAACAGAGGATGGACAACGTATTGTAGGTGAGTCTAATTTTGGGGGGTTGAGTTATTGGGAAAATATCAGAGCCTTTTTAAAAAATTTTGATTCTTACATTTTAAAAATCTCAGTATCTATTCTAGTAGTGGAATAGAGCTTGATTTATGTGTTCTTAAAAGGCTGAACGGAAGTTAAGCCTTCAAATGGGCATTGTTGATTCTGGCTGAAGTTATGATATGGTCATTTACCTTACACTGCTCTCAGCTGTTCCTGCTCCCCTTCCTCATTGTTGCCGTCTGCGCAGCCTTTCTTGGGTAAAGACTAAGCCCGCCTCTTGCCAAGGAGTCCTAGAAGTCTGCTGTTTGATGTTCAGAGTCCACATCGAGACTGAAGCGAATGTTGCTGTGCACAGAGGCCGGCTTGGAGCTGTGCGGAGAGCATGGGCAGAGCAGGCCAGCTGCGCCTACCGCCCGCTCACAGGCTTTGCAGGGAGCTTTCCCTGTCCCTCCACGTTTGTTTCATTTGCCACAGCCTGCCTTTTTTATCTTGGGTTGCAGATTGGCAGTCTGTGGGCCAGAGATAGTCCATGAACATTTTTTTGACCCTCAAATATTTTCAGTTGTTGCAAGTTTGCATTTGAATTAGTTGCCAACATTTAAAGGTCAGAAGCCTGGCTTTTTGTTTTCTCAAAAGGTGCGTGTGGGCACACACACAGCTGTGTACACGCACCAGCTTCTGTGACACATCGAGCCCCTGTTCCCAGATGAGAGGGGTTCAAGTTCCTGTGCCAGGACATCTGCTTTCCCCCATTTGCTAACATCTGTACTGTGACCACGTGGCAGTTAACCTGCTTCAGTCAGCCTTTGAGTTTGCAGCCACTGTCCTGTGCTCTTTCTGCTACATTAGCACTTGCCAGGGAAGGTTGTGTTGATGTGCATTTGTGGGGCTGCAAAGTAGATCGGGAGACACTGTACTTGACCTTTCTGTTCCAGCACCAAGTTGGTGTTGCTGTAGACATGCAGACGCTTAGGTATTTGTGGGTGACGCTGCCGAGGAATTCGGTTACTTCTGAAGGGGCCATTTCAGTTATTAGGTATTTATTTCATTTTTGTGTGGTGTCATCTTTGTTCCACTTAATAGTGTGCTTCACTTGGAGTGTGCTGTGAAGCTGGAATATACGGCTGTCTTGGATGCACCCTTCCAAAATTCTTGTTTCTAATTGCAGGTTTGATCATTCCTGCAAATTGTGTGTCTCCACTTGTAAATCTCCTGTCAACTTCAGACCAGTCTCAACAGCTTGCGGTCCAGCAGAAGCAGCTCTGGCAGCAGCGCCACCCTCAGAGCATCGCCAACTTGAGCAACGCTTAAGAACAGACAGGTTTCGACATGGATGTATCTGAAATGCTGTTGAAGCATATCATTTGCATAAAAATCAGGGACAGTTTCCAAAGAATTATAATTTTTTTTTCAGTTGTGCTCTCTCTAGTTAATTTTTTTGGGAGTAAGGACAAACCTGGAATAGATAGCAAAACTGAAAATCAGCAGTGCCGATGGGGGTACATATGTCTTTCCTTTGCTTTTCCCATGGTACTTCCCATATGCTTTTACTTTGGGTGAGCAGAGGGATATGTGCGCGTGCGTGTGTGTCTGTTTGTTTGTGAGTTTGTTAAAGACTACAAACCACAATTGGTTTAAAAATGCTTGGAACTTCCCAAACTGGCTTTACTTTTATGTTACACAGTGCTCAGGGTTAACGCAGTACATCCATGCAACTGCTGTGGGAGTTCTCCCCGGATGCATGTGTTTTGAGTCTATAAATATAGAAAATATATATTGGTTTCTTTTTCCAACTTATTAAACAATAGGTTTATTAAAGCATGAAATGAAAGGTTGCATATCATGCATTCAGGTTCTTTTCTAGTTTTTGTTCTGACAGTGCATGTCTTTGAAAGCATGCGTAAACAAGACTAAAACAAGTCAAGTAACGGAGAGAAACATTTGTAGATGTACAGCATTGGTTATTGCATTTTTATAGTGTTTATACCTGGGTATTGCTTCTTACCCTGCAAATCTCATCCCCATCCCCATTCTCCCTGCCCCAGGTTTCTGGTCAAGGTAATGAGTACATACATTTTTTTGTGGTAAAACTCTTAAAAAGTTAATTTTAATGTATTAATAGTATTCCTAATGTGTGCTGCAAAAATGGCTACAAGCCTGCTTTTCTTAAAATTACATTTTCCTTAACTTAAAGATAGTTTTAGAAAGAAATACAAATTGGCTTCCTTCTTGCAAACAATCTTTTTTTTTTACTTCATTATCTTAATTTGTCACTCATAAAAAAGGAAACCGTACTTGAGCTGTAAACTAGACAATGAGGAGACACTTGAGGCTTCTGCTGTATGTTTATTTCTTGTTGTTATTGTTGTTACCCAGTAACGTGAATATTGTTTAATGTGTTGTAAGACATTGTAGAGTTTATCTCAAGCTGTTAAAAATGGTGATGTACAAATGTGAATAGATACTTATCTACAATATGGGTGAGTTTTTTTTCGCCTATAATAGATGTTTATAAAAACAAGTGAGGGGACAATTGGTTTTTTTGTTTCCTTTTGTTTTCCTCTCCCCCCCCCCCTTATTTTTTGCTTGCACAGGTTGCACTATTGAAAAATTGAGATTGTATAAACCTGGTCAAAAGCTACAAGATACCACAATCTTGTAGGTGTCAAATAAAAAGTTATGATACTAACCGGAAGTGGACTCGTGTTTAGGCCCTCACCACTTTCAGAAGCAGTCCATGATGGGGACTCCGCAGAACTCGAGTGTTGCTCAGCGCTCAGAGAGGCTTCTGTTTGGACTTCTGTCGGGCTCACCCTCGAAATGGAGGTGGTGTCGAGGAAGGGGTGACATGATCGTTCTTTTGAATGTTGCTCAAACTGAATTGTTCTCTTTTGTTACTTTTTAAACTTCTAGCCGAATCAGGTGGGGTGTATGTTCAGTGAAGGCAAGCCAGGGCTTTCCTCTTCCTGTGTTCCTTTAAACCCCAGTTCGCTTATGTCAAGTTTACTGTAAGCTTCCTTTGGATTTATTTATTCTTAATACCTAGAAGAACACATTGACAGTAATTTCTGTTCTTTGGCATGTTTTGCCAAGTGGATGCAACTTTCCTCCTCAGTCTAGGCTCTCTATCTCAGGCAGTGATCCATCTAAAGATCGACCAGTGTTCCTTGTTAGGGCAGATCGTCCCACCTGCAGCAAAGCTTCTCAGTTAGTTCCTCTCCGTGGAAACCGGGGGTCTGCCCAGCGTCCATCAACACGCTGAAGTGAAAGGGAGTTGGGGACGGGAACCCTAACAGACCTGCTCCCCTTAGTGAGACAGAATGGCAGGGTTAGAGAAGACAGATTTCTCATAGGCTCTTGGCCCAGCTTCCCTCTTGTGTGTGTGGGGTTATCTTTCTTGCAGGGTGTGCTTATTTCCAAACATCCGTACGTGGATTCTGTAGCATGCGGTTAGTTGACCCCCACAATTCCTGATGCAACGTTTGCCCTTTGAACAGCTATCTTGATGCAAAGGGCATAGGTATGTTCTGTTCTTTGAGGAACAGCTTTGTTTTGCTCTTAGAAATAAGGTCCAGAAGTAAGGCCTCTGAAAAGTCTCCAAGGAGACCTCAAAAAGGCGACCAGTGTAAATGGAGGGGGACCCGAGGTGCCACATGCCCCTGTCCATCATACCCATCATGGCGTGGGGTGTGTTAAGCACCAAGAGTCTGCTGCTCGTCCCCTTCTTTGGAGGTTGAACACAGGACCTTTACACTGTGCCCTTACCTAAGTCAGCAAGTTCAGGTTGGTCAGCATGGGGCTACCCAGCATTCAAGGCCCTCCTCTGTCAAAAAACCAAGTCTTAACAACAGTGAGCTTCTGTAAAACAGGCCCATGTATTTCAGGATCTGAATGCCACATCTGACCCCAGGGCCTTGTTGAACCCGACGCTTTTGGCCCCTGCAATGCCTTTCCTCCCTTTTTAGCAATACGGCTCTGAGCACCAAGATTTGATTATAAATCATGTTCGTGTTTTCAGAGTTTACAGTGTCGATTGTGCTGAAAACCACTTCCTGAGTCCAGAGCTGCTCAGCTGGTATCTCAGGGGGAGTTGGTGTTCCCCAAGTTTAGCGATCTCCACCCCGCAAGGCCTCCGGCTGTGGTTTAGCGGGATTATCCAGGTCAGCATTGATGATGTGAAGTCCTCCAAGTATTAACGAAGTATTTCTTGAAACGCAGCTTGATCAGAAAGTGAATATCTGAAGCGTTTTCCCCTTTTTGCTGCTGTGTTGCATAGACTCTCAGCATCTTTTCTTTCCGTCCGTGTAGAAGGTAGCCAGAACTTACCCCCAGAGCAGCATGCGCGTGTGTGCCCGTGTCCATGTATTTATTCCCGTCCAGTCAGTTCGCACTTCAGAAAACAGTTTGAGCTGCAGCAGGAGCCCGTTTCACTTTAGTGTGCTTCATCTGTAGAGGTCAAGTTCTAGATTACCAAGCTCCAGGGGACTGTAACATCTTAGAGGCCCAGTCCCATGTCCACAGCCCTTGGGGCATTCATTTGCTGGCCTCCGTGTGATGCTATTAGAACTCTTAACAGGCAGGACCAGAAAGGGCACCAGGACAGCATTTACATTTGAATAGTGGGAACCTTTTCCCGCACCCCCTCTCCTTCCCAGTTTAGTAAGAAGGCAGAAAGCAGTAGTAGATTACAAATGATTGGTGCATCTCAGTTTATGAAAGTAGGAGCAGAGGAAAAGTACTTTCCCCTTTGGTCCTTTTCTTGATAAGATACGGAGAGGAATGTCTGGGTCTATAATCTCTTACTTTAAAAACATACCTGAGGAATACTTGGTAGTTTCTGAGATCGGTGCTAATAAGAGTTGCTGTCAGGCTGGGATCCGGTTAGCCAGACTTCGGGTTAGTTCAGGCATCCCAGTGGCGAAGAAAACCACTGTGACGATGGGCATTTAGCGACTACCCCTCCTGGGTCTGGGGTCTCCCTGCATAATCGCATACCCGCGCACGGGGCCGGGCACGCTGTGCCGCGGGAGTTTGGAGGCAGTCCACCTCGTGGCTCTAGCCGCGAGCAGAAACCGTTTGTGGAGACTCCTCATGGGCTGCCAATTCTCGAATACAAATGCAGTGTCTTTTAAGGGCGCGTAAGTGAAGGAAACGCACATAGATACCCGCAACTCAAGCTCGCTAGTAGTTTTTTCTGAGTACTTGAGGTAAAATTCAAAACCCACTTTCTGATTTTATGCTGTACTTATATATGTACATAAATGTGTATATATAGAAATGTTGAGTTCTTTTGAATTTTGAATGTAAATATTTCTTGTAAATTGGGACCCCATCCACTTGTTTTTCCCTTTCCTTCCTCCCTTCCATCCTATTTATTCTTTTCTTGACTTCCATATGGGGTATCTTATACTTTTTTTTTATATAAAAGTATGGAAAACTTCTTAGTTGAATTTGTTCATATATTTTAGAATTCAGTTTTGCATCTTTACTATAGAATTCCTATGTCTGTTGTGTGTTAATATTTTTTCCACATGCCTGATTGTGTTTGCATTTTTATTACAAATTTTTACTGTGTGCAATGCATTGTATTGGGGGGAATGTACTTGAGTGCAATTTCTGATACTGTCATTATATGACTAGTTACGCTCATTTATGTTGCTCTTTGGAAGCTATAGTGAGCCTGATGTTTTCACATAAAAACATTTATTCCCAAGACTTCCTTTAAGCTCCTCTAACTTCTTCAGTGCATTTGAGATCCAATGTAGCTTTTCAGTAACCCAACTTGCTCCTACCCTCGCAGTTTTTCAGGCCTGTACCAAAGCCTTCACCTGTGTGGCTCAGCTGAGAGGAAAATCTTACAGATCTGACCAGTAGTTGACGGCCTGCTGCTGGCTGCAAAGTTTTTGAGGGTTTTTTTTTTGTTTTTTAAGAAGTCAGGCCTGTACGTTTAACCTGCAAATTAATAAATCAAAAATTTACTTTACAGGGAAGACAGGGAATCTGCCTTTGCTCTCACCTGTTTAGGATTTTAACCGCAGTGGGGAGACTGGCCTGGTACATGTGGGTCTCCGTAAAAAACGTTCTTTAAGGACCAGTTGTCCTCCCAGAGAGAGCAACATAACTGCTCTAGAGGCTCCAGGAGCCTTCAGCTCATGGGCTCATTTCTTCTCGAACCATTAGCTGTGGGTGGACTGGCCGGCAGGCTGCCCTGAGCTGCTCTCACCACGACTGAACTACCAGTGAGTGGCCCTTGGCTGGATGAGGCGCCCACAGCCTCATTGCTGAGCTGGATTGAGGCATTCTTGATGATGAGTGTTGCCCATGGGGAAGACCCGGGGGTGGCTCATGAAAACGGTGGGTAATCATCAGCAGGGACGCAGACTTTAAAGATTTTGCACCATGAAGAAAATTTTCCTTCATGACCTCTAGGTGGGATCACCATGAGCATTTCTTGGGCCTTTAACTCATGTACATGTTTCGCTTACCTATTCCAACTTGCTAGTCTTGTTGAAAATTTACAAGTTGTCTGCATGGAAATAAGCCTTGGGAACGGAGCATATCCTCAATTAGGGCCTGTTAGAGATGTGCTCCGGTGAGAATCCCGGCTCAGGTCCAGCCTGCCCGCTCCCTGCCTCTGGTGCCTGAGGAGTGCCGAGCCGGGCAACGTGCGGCCACTGTCCCCAGCGCCGCGGTGGCGGGACAGCTCAGAGCGCCTGCCCAGCAAGGGACATACCCTGGCCAAGTCGGTTCTTCTTGCTTCTTGAGGTTCAGGCCTCCCCCTCCCCAGGTCTGAAGGTCAGTCCACAGCCCCCTTCGTGAGAACACCCCATTCATGCACCTTCCCACCCCAGGGCCTTTCTTGCTGTGATCGTACTTGCGGCACTGAAGAGGATAAAGCAGCTTTGAGCCTTCTTCCTGACTCCGCATTAGGGGCAGAGAACTTGTTCCTACGGAGCACGTTGTAGTCTCCCCGCCGTTAGAGAAAAGAAACATCCTGTTCGTGGTTTATACTGAGTCTGCAAACTACTGATAAGATTTTTCAATAACCACTTGTATCTACCATCGACCATGAGAAGCGGGAAGAGGGATGCTGTGTCTCTGCAATAAAACTTTCGCCAGGTTCTACCTCTGCTGAGCAAAGGGTACTTTTATACGTAGGCGTAGATCTTCCTCCTTCACTGCTCTGACTTGGTGCATCTTGAGACAACGTGCGATGGAATCCAAAGACAATTTGAAACTAAGGTGGCTGTAAACTCTTGGTTGTTTTGATTTGGTCCTCTTTTTTTAAATCTCCCTTTTTATATCGCTCCTCTGTCTCGAATGTCCGTTAGCGTGTGAAGGGTACGCACTGTTCCGATGATACTGCACTGCTCCATCCAGCCTTCCATGGTTAACCCAGTACCAAGTGTCCAGAAGTGACTGTTCCAACCATTTTGATCATGTAACTTTAAAAATTGGGTCTCATGCAATAAACTTTGTGTTGGCTGCATTGAGCGAGGTTTACCCTTGCAAGTAAAAAACGATCAACCATGAAGCATAACAAACTCTGTAGTTTTTCGTTGTCGTGTTTTTTGTTTTGTTTTTGTTTTCTTTCTTTTTCTTTTTTTTGTAAGATTCTTAAATAAATTAAACTGGCTAATATGTTTTTTCTCTGTTCGTGTTTTCTTTCTCTGGGTTCTGAGCTCCCGTTGAAGCTGTACCCATGCCACCATCCTTGCTAGAGAACTTTCCTTTGGGGGCTTGGACTTCCTTAATGTTGGCATTTTATTGAGCGTGAATTACAGGAGACGTCTCACAGTGTGGCTGGCATGGAACCCAGCACTGTTCAGAGCAGAAGACGTGCACCCTGCCGTACGCGGGAACAACTCTGTAGGTCTGAGCAGAGGTCCTGCCCTGGCTCCTGAGACTCCCCTCACAGAGCGTCTTTCCCGAGAGATGCCGCAGAACAGAAGGGCACCCATGACTATTCGAAGACTTGGGCGGGGGGCATGAGGCTCCTTCTTTAAAATCAGTCCCAGTGTTGAGCAACCGCCCATTCTGTGAGTGCAAGATTTGAGCTCTGCCTCGGAGAACAGCAGCCAGTGTAGAAAACTGTCAGGGCTTATTGTGGGCCTACTGTATGCCAGTCGCAGTGGCGGGCTCTCCATATTCCTTTCTGTGGCTTTCAGTCCTCCTGTAGTTTTCAGATGAAGTCACTTTGCTCATAAGCTAGGAAAGGCGTTTAGTTTCTCATTTTTGCGGGACCGGTGCCTGTATTTATTAAGGGTTTTATACATAACTGCTGTGCGTCTACCATTGGGTCACATGCTGGGTACTTACTCTCACGTCAAGACTGTAAACGAGCAAACAGGATTCTTGTGGTCATGGGAGTTAAAACAGCAAGAACGCTATTTGTGCCTGAGCCTAGGAGGTGACTGGCCATGGCACTGAGGAAGCTGTAGTGGGTGGAGAAGGGGGAGTGGCGCAGTCTTAGGCCACTATTGATCCTGGGGCTCATAGATAAAGAGGGATTGGCCAAGACGACTGGCCAGCTTCTTGCCCTGCTTGGGAAGCAGGGAACAGGGAATGAAGGGAATGGAAGACACCACAGGAAGATCAGTTACCTCCCCTGTAAGGTTTGAGTACCCTGACTTTTAACTTACAAGCACAGATCTGGGAGCCAGCACCGGGTGGGGTTCTGTCCAGCCTAGGGGGCCTGGGCCAAGAGTCAGGACTACCATCCTGGAGAAGGACGGAGGGAGGGGGTCAGGGAGAGGAGGTTGGGTTTGGTTTTTTGTTTGTTTGTTTGTTTGTTTTAGATTTATTTATTTAATTGACAGAGATCACAAGTAGGCAGAGAGAGAGAGGAAGGGAAGCAGGCTCCCTGCTGAGCAGAGGGCCCAATGCGGGATTCGATCCCAGGACCCTGAGATCATGACTTGAGCTGAAGGCAGAGGCTTTAACCCACTGAGCCACCCAGGCGCCCTGATTTTTTTTTTTTTTTTAATGTTTGGAATATGGCTTCTTTGTGGGGTTTCAAATGCTTAAGAGAATCATAATTTATAGCTTGAAATTCTTTTTTTTTTTTTTAAGATTTTATTTATTTGAGAGAATGAAAGAGAGAGAGCACAAGAAGAGGGAGGGTCAGAGGGAGAAGCAGACTCCCTGCCAAGCAGGGAGCCCAGTGCAGGACCGGATCCCAGGACTCCAGGATCATGACCGGAGCCGAAGGCAGTCGCCCAACCAACTGAGCCATCCAGGTGCCCTATAGTTTGAACTTCTTAAGGGAATTCAATCAAATTTGTAAATGGTGTTAATGTTTACGGCAATTTAATCTCAAATTCATGAGAGAATTGAGTATTAATTGAACAATGAAAGTATTTTACATTTTAACCAAAATTTTTATTAATTTTTATTTTTCAAGGATTTTATGTATTTGACAGAGACAGCAAGAGCGAGAGTGGCAGAGGGAGAAGCAAGTTCCCCGATGAGCAGGGAGCCTGATGCGGGGCTCGATCTCAGGACCCTGGGATCATGACCTGAACTGAAGGCAGACACTTAACAACTGAGCCACCCAGGCGCCCAAATTTTTATTATTTTTTAAATGGATAGTATATATATTTTTAAAGATTTTATTTATTTGTCAGAAAAAGCACAAGCAGGGGGAGCAGCAGAGGAAGAAACAGGCTCTCCACTGAGCAGGGAGCCCGATGGGCTCGATCCCAGGACCCTGGGATCACGACCCGAGCGGAAGGCAGACACCTAACTGACTGAGCCACCCAGGTGCCCTATAGCTTGAACTTCTTAAGGGGATTCAGTCAAATTTGTAAATGGTGTTAACGTTTAGGGGAATTTAATCTGAAATACATGAGATAATTGAGTGTTAATTGAACAAGTGAAAGTGTTTTTAACCAAAAATTTTATTTATTTTTATTTTTTAAAGATTTTATGTATTTGACAGAGACAGCAAGAGCAGGAACGCAAACAGGGGGAGTGGCAGAGGGAGAAGCAGTCTCCCTGCTCAGCAGGGAGCCCGATGCGGGGCTCAATCTCAGGACCCTGGGATCATGACCTGAACTGAAGGCAGACACTTAACAACTGAGCCACCCAGGTGCCCCAGTTTTTATTATTTTTTAAATGGATAGTATAGGGGTTTTTTTTTTTTTTAAGATTTTATTTATTTGACCCTGGGATCATGACCTGAGCTGAAAGGAGATGCCTAACTTACTGAGCCACCCAGGTATCCCTTAATTAACATTTTAAAAATATATATTTGTAAGTTGAGGGGCACCTGGCAGGCTTTAGTAGAGTGTGTGACTCTTGATCTCAGGGTGGTAGGTTTGAGCCCCACGTTGGCTGGAGAGGTTATTTAAACAATAAAAATCTTTAAGAATACATGTGTAAGTTG